GCACAGATGAGGGAAGTCTAGTACTGGTGTATTTCTCCAGAAACGATGGTTAGGAAACTACCCGCCTATAAGACTGAAATGCTGTTGGAAAAGGCGTAAAATGAAACAAACAAACAAAGCAATGCTAGGAATTGTTGACAAGTTTATTTCCAATATATGTAGTAAATTAAGTGAATTTTACATTATCTCGTGGTAGAACTACTTTCAATCCGTATTGTTTCCGAGGTTATCAGGACGTTCCGACTGGTAGTCAAGTATCCCACGAGCCATAACTGTAATGAAATATGAAAGGGAAGGATAAGTAGACAACCCAGCGTTCGTAAGCCTTTCAACAATTCCATGTTTTCCAAATTCCTAGTCGCGTTTTGAATGTTGACAAATCAGTCAATAATTATTTATTGTCTGTAACAACTCGTCAGAGGCTTGCATAATATGACCGTATTCAACTCGTCCAATAAATTCAGAATTGAAGTATAGGATATCGACCGAGTACGAGGTCTTTCCTAAACAGAAAGATCGATGTACGAGGCCGATATCCAACTTACACACCGTCAAAACTATTGCCTTGAGCAATGGCTGATCCGAAACATTTGATGTAATGCAAAAAAAATATTTTTTAACGCAGCGCATAAACAGGTAGGCTTTTTTTTATTCTATTAATTTATGGATACTATTTTGTGTGTATAAAGTTGCGCGTTAGTTTTTGTTTATTTAAACACAATGGAATTTCGACAAAAGGCGCTGATTTTTTGTAACAAAAAATTCAACATTTCCTTTTTTAAGTTTTTTTTTTAAAAATAATATCCGAATAATACATTTTTATCTTTTCTATCAATATTTGAATACTTATGGGAGATGTGCCCTTTGTAGACCAATCCACTTTAAGTACTTTTATATGCATGTCACTATAAGCAAGCTATATCTATGTTCAAAGGTTTTCAAGGGAAATCAGTTTTGATTTCTCACCGGTTGAATAGTAAGACAGGATAAAGCACTCAACGAGAGAGGGGGGAGATTAACGGGGATTTAACAATCCGCTTGATCCCACGGGTGGGAATGTTACCAGGGACTTGACTATTAACTGTGGGTAGCTGCAGTTTCCTAGGAATGCACGTTATTTCAATCACAAATGCGTTTGAAACGGACATATTTTCATTATATTTTACGATTATGACTGTTTGGTACAATTTTTATATACTATGATTTTTCTAGAGCGTTTAAGATGTTCTGGATTAGGTGATTTAAAATAGTAATAAGTATGCTGTGACAACTGTTATAGTTTCATAGAAATTAACTTTAAGCGCCCATATTTGTTATATTCTAAACAAAAACCGCTTAAATTACTACAGTAAAATGCCACCTAACGACCACGCCACATATAGGACCACGCCGTTATTACGGGCACTTTTTAAAAGTACAAAATATTTGCCTTCTTTATTCATTGAGACAAATGACCAGTATACCGACCACGTCACTAATCCGGCATAACGACCACTTCTGTCAGACATTTGTGTGTATTTCTTATCAAAACATTAACCTGTATGACGACCATGCAACATAATGGCCAGACATCACTTTGTGTTTATTGCCCCCCATTAATTGTCGTAATCTTCCCTCTAGCGTAAACAAATACACCGGGTCAAATGAGGTCATTAATATATATCGATTGATTCAGACGCTTGCTTAACGATGTATCTTTAGCATTCAAGCGTCAACATGATATGAAAGGGTACACCTTAAGTTTTGCAAATCAATATTAGGAGTAAAACAATGTGCTAGTAATAATGCAGTGTATGGCGAATTAGGTAGATACCCCTTACATATCAACAGATACGTACAAATCATTAAATTTTGGCTTAAGCTTGTCAATACGGATAATATTATACTGAAAGAAATTTATAGATATACAGTAAGCAATAGTTTGACTGGTGTAAATAATTGGGCTCAAAATGTAAAATCCTTATTAAATGAATTTGGCTTTTCTTATGTGTGGGACAACCCAATAAATATCAAAAGTAGTTTCTTTTTATCTGAATTTAAGCAAAGAGTTATTGATTGTTTTTAGGCAAAAATGGCATTCAGACATAGAAAACAATATTGTACTAAACACTTTGTATAGTTATATCAAAAAAGACTTTTGTTTTGAACCTTATTTAAGAAATATTTATTGTAAAGGTATACGTATGAATATTTGTAGAATTAGAATATCTGCTCATAACTTAAGGATTGAAAACCGGTAGATACGGACGTAATAGAACTCAAAGAAATGAAAGATTATGCCAATTATGTAACTTACCAGAAATTGAAGATGAGTATCATTTTATTTTAGTTTGTCCATGTTATCAAGATATTCGAAGAAGATTTATCAAGCGTTATTACTATATTAGACCTTCTATGTATAAATTAGTAGATTTACTACAATCAGATAATAAAGCTATACTTGTAAATTTAGGAAAATATATAGATGTAGCTAATAAAAAGCGACAAGAATTGTTACTATCCGTTGTTAATTCATAACACATTTTGAAATGTTAATTGGTTCAACTTATTATCCTTATTATCGTTAGAAAGATACATGTAATATAATACTTTTGACACTGTTATTGTCACGTCTTTTCTGTTGTTGGTGTTTTTCTTCTTACTGGAACTTTTTTATTTCTATGAATGATAATGAAATTGTGATGTTTTTTGTTCCTTTATTTGCAGCTGTCTGTTCTCCGTTAGAATGTCATCAGTTAAAACTTTTTATATTCTTCTTATTATTTTTTTCTTTGCTTTTGTCATGTGACCACAGAATCATTATATTTGTAATTATTGTATGTAACGAGATACTGTAAATGTATAAGTTACCGAAATAAACTATTTCTTCTTCTTCATGATCAGTTTAAACCACTTCTGGCTAATTAATCTAAGCAGCTATGGTGTGAGAAACGATTAATTTGTCAGCGTAATTAGGATGTAATAAACAGGTAAACAGCATTTAAAATTGTTTGTTGTGGATCACAATTTATAGCAAGTATGGTTAAAATTGATAATGCAGCTATGGTGTGAGAAACGATTAATTTGTTAGCCTAATTAGGCATTGCACAGGCACCAGATACAATTATTTTACCCATATACGCTCATAATACTATATACAAGAAAAGCATTGATGCAAAGCATCAAAGGGCGTCCAAGCAAGAAAAGCAGCAAGTGAAGATGAACTAGAAGACATATGATGACAAAATATTCTTATACACTTTTCAATGGTAAATTGGTTTTTACCAGAATTGTATATCACTTATGAATGAGCGTGTTCATTATGAACTTTGATTGGCATGCTAGAGATTAGAATATTACTTTTTATTTTTCTTTATGATCGTGGTTATTAATAGCAACGGATATACATGTATACAATTATTTATAATCCATATGTGTAACGCATGATCAACACGTACCACACCTTTGTAATTGTCCCTTATTATGTTATCGCTATTAGCGAAGACCCCCTATTAAGGAATCTGTTCACACTTTGTAAAAATATGACAATGGTTATATTAACATGTTGATTATGTTGAGCATAATTGTTTATTATACAATAATTGTATTATCTATTTTAATTTTAATTAAAAAAATACAAATATGAATATTGTTTTCTTTTCTTTTTTGTGTTTTATGTCCTATTTTAATACTGAGTTTTTATGTTTACGACCATGTGCATAAAACTATACAAGGTATACATTAAGTTAAGTTGGACTTCGTCAGATATTAAAGTGACTTATTCACTATTAAGACCAACTCACTATTAAGACCACTTTGAGTCAGTCCCGTAAGTGGTCTTAATAGAGAGAATTTACTGTATTACTTTGGGGAAAAAAGACGCGATTTAATGTTAAATGTTTCCTAACTTTTGAAATGCTATCCATTAATTTTATTTTAAGAATTAATATAGGAATGTTGGAATAATTGCAAAGTGCATTCAATTTACCTTTTCCCTTATATAAGCGTGTTTCGACGGCTTTTTGCCCCCCCCCCTTTTTGAGGCCTCAAACAGTGAAAAAATGCCCTAAAAAAGGCCCCAAACACTGTTTTCCGTTTGAGAAATGTTGTTAAAAAAAGTGACCACTTTTTCGGCGCCGTCCGCCATTCAAATATATCATCAGAGGGTTGCCAGAAGGGGGATGTGCCCCTTTCTGTTTGGGGGGTTTGAAGGGGGCGGAGTCCCCCTCATCGCCAAGAAAATTTTGGACATGTGACAGGCTAAAAATGGCATCAGGTCGATTTTAGGGTCACAAGTAACCGACCCTGAAAAGCCTTTTACTCTATCCCAATTCATTGAGAAGGTGTCGCACTTTGAACTCAGTTTTGATGGAAAAAACAATGCAAAATAATGATTTTTGGCAATTTTGAGACGTCCCCCCGTTGCCATGGTAACTGGAAATTTACCATTGAGCATGCTGTTACAGAGGCTATGGTGTAGTCAACATTTGTGCCAAGTTTCATTAGTATTGAAGTATTTTTCATAGTTTCATAGCAGTTTGAACTTGTTACAGGAGGCTTTTCAATGAAAACGGCCATTTTTCGCAAAATGCTCATGGGGTAAAAGGTTAATTTTAAAAAAATAAAAATGTCAAAAAACAACGATTTTTCACCAAATTTCGGTGTTAGGGCATGTGTTAAGATGGAAAGTCTAGTTTTTGTGTAATTCCAAGATTTTTCATCATTTTTTGTTAACATTATCTTGTGTAAAAAATGTAATCAGATTTTGTAAGACAGGAATATTAAGAAAATCATATACATTTTTTTTTTCATTTTCAATTTTTTATTACATTTCATGTTTTCTTTTTCTGCGCATAGGCAGGTCTATTTTTTCACGTGTTTTTCATGACCGGGTCTGTCTGACTAGAACAGACCTGTTCACGTGCAAAAGATAGACCTCATAACGGACTTTCTTTTGTTTAATCAGGTCTATCCGAAAAATATTGACCTGTCACAAACAGTAGAGGAGGTGTGTAACTTAAAGTTATTCAATATCCTGTATATTATACTAATCATATGCGCGCAATTATCATCACGAGAGGGCGTATGTTATGTAAACTAACTCGCTTTTGGACACGGTCCAACTTCGAATTTCCGAGATAAAACAATGTCATTCAACATAATTGATGGGCAGCAAGCGTGACAAGATATATATTCAGTTTTGAACATTTTTAAACGTTTTAGCGATACTCTTTGGATTTGTATACATATATTTATAATGAATACCTCGGAAATGGACGTTCAGGCTGGTTATGTTCGTGCCGGAAACAGTTTAGCAGGAACAACTCTAAACTCGCTAATGGACGATGGTTACAGTGTCACTTGTGGAATAGAGATCGAGAACTTGACTAAATATTTTCTAACAAAGCCTCGGGCTTATATAAATGGCGGGGTATTATCAATTCCTCCTGTTACTATATTTCCTGAGACGAGGGAAGCAATGATAGCTCGAAAGACTGGCTATACTGCTACAGGTTCATACGGGACAGTGTCATGGCTTATAGAATCTACAGATGACCGTGAACAACGTCGCCTTATTGTTATGTGGTCTGCGCCATTTAACCATGACTTTTACAACAACACCCTTGCTGTAGGTCTCACGAAACCAGGATACATAGAACATCCGATAGGACAGAAATGCTTCGCAAGTATGTATGATAATAGACATATTACAGAACTGATAAAGTACGGCAAAAAAGAATTTAACCGCGACATTTCACCAATCATCTACCAGGACTCTGACTATCAGGTAGTCGCCACGATGGGATCCAGTCACAAAGCCCAAGTCAAGATTCTTTTTACACAAAAATGATTTTTTTCCTTTTGAACGTATTGTTATTTGTGGTACAAGACACGAACAACTTAAAAGAAATTAAACGTTAATGTTATTTTTGATTTTCTTAAAGGACATGATTGTATATAGGTACGTCTTATGTTTGAAATCATTTAAACTTTAAGTTAAATACCTTCGTACCCAAAAAGTAAACTCCTATATTAATCATGGTGATTATTTTTCTGAAGTGTTTAAATACACTGTATGATTATGTCAAAAGAGGTAATTTATCTTTGTCTTAAAATATGTAGAAAATGATTGGTTGATTCTCCATGTAGGAACTATATATATAGTTGTTTATATTTATATTTAAGACGATTATTGGACCAGAAAAGATACTTCTATATTCATGACCATCAAATGTCACGTGACTATTGTATATTAGTATACATTGTCTTGAAGTTTTGAATAAGATATGTTCTGTTCATGTAAAGTACATGTAATAAAACTTACATCTCTATTCTTATCAAAGAAAATAATAGTGTTTATCTTAGTTCTATCATTGTTTATTAAATAATGTTGGTATAATTGAATTTATTTTTCTGTGTATGAAATGTAAAATGATTTGTCATTTTATTATTTTGCATATATCTATATTTACATTTTAAAATTCAAGACTATTGTACTTCTGTAAATAAGTTATCAAATTTTGATTGACTTTCAGCTTCATTTTCTTAAAAAAGTATTGTGAAAACATGTCATTTTATGGTACACTTATATAAAATAAGGTATGATATATGCTATTTTCTATTTACAGTGCTTCATAGTCAAACAAACCCTTGAATATTGTAGCATTACCTTTGCAAATGTATAACATCTTAGTCTAAGATAAAGAACAAAGAATTGTGTTCATAAAGGACTTTTGTTACATGTAACTAAGAATTCATGTCAGAGATATTAGACATGAAACTGGACTTTCTAGTTTAATTCCAAAAGAAAACATGAACATGCACACGTGTAATACGTTTTTGAATATCCTTAGCAGTTTTAAACTTTTAGAGATAACTTTCACAAAGATTTCATAAAGGGCCATAATTCAGTCCAATTCAAAGTCAGTGCTTTGTGTCCTAGTGACGTCCAATTATGTACATGATATATATATTTCAAAAACTTGTTTAAAAATGGCAGTTTCACATGCATCGTACACAAAAGAAACTTGCTCAACATTCTTAGTTTCTTTTACATATTTTGCTAATTGTTTTAATTAATCAGACCAATCTACACAAGAAAAATGTTTACTATTTCAATCTTTGGTGGTATCAATCCTAAATTACGACGCCGAAATAAAAGGCATTCACGAGGGTTAATTGTTAAAAAGACATTTAGCGTTAAAAAATCGATTGATTAATATAGCTGGTCTGGGACGGTATCAAATGAGAATACAAAGCAAAATTATTATGATTAAAAAAAGAAAAATAGTAAAAATTTTGGGCTAAGAAAATAAATCATTAATATGAAAAATATAGTAGACAGTAGACATTTTATTTTATTCCAATAGGCTATAATATATTTGTTGTAAATTAATTGAATTTTAATACATAAACGCATTGCCATATATTTATACACACATCCTTAAAATCTAAAGTCCCTTCGCATCAATTGCAGATTTAATAATTGTAACAAATCTTTATCTTTCATTTTGGATTTTTGAAAACTTCGAAAGTCCAATTTCAAAAGTGATTTGGCTATTCATGTTAAGTTGCAAAGAGACCTTCGAGCTGACTTAATTGCTAACCTTATCATATAAACATGACATTCATATCAATAGAAAACATATTATATATAATTATGTACAACGTTTTAATTTTCTCCATAATTATATCTGTCTTGCCGAAACGAAAGTGCAAGACAAATCATATGGATATTATGTATTTTTTTTTTAACATGAACATTACAACTGGACAAATTTGTATTGTTAATCATATAGCAAAGTATTTCTAATAATAAATGCTTTGTTTATATATATTCCTAAGTTTTTAAGTATGTTCTTATTTTCTGAGTTCATAAGATCTACAAATTTATACATGCTAGGCCGTATCCAATATTTTCTGGCAATATATTTTTTCCTAATATCAATGTACATTACACATTCAATAATAAAATGATATTCATCTTCTACCTTATTACATGTTATACATTTTCTATCACTAATAGGTGTTCTGGTGGGTCTGGTCCATCGACCGGCTTCAATGTGTAATCTGTGAGATGATACCCTTAAACGAGTAAATGATTGACAAAATTTATGAATATTAAAGCATTCCAAATATGGTTGAAATCTAAATGATGCAATTGTGTTATAAAATAGAGCCCTACTTGATTGGTTAAGTCTTGCATTCCAGTTCTGTATAAATTGATCACTTAATCTTTGTTGAACAACAGAAAGAAACATTTCGGTATTACCAACGCCTTGAAAAATCCACGCATCAACAAATCCAAGAGAACATAGTAAATCTTTCAATAATGTACACCAGTTTGTTTTATTTGGACACAATTCTACGTCCGTCTTCAATAAATTATAAACAATAAAGATATATTTGTTTTGTTTTGCTTGCAAAATTCGTAACCAATATTTGATAGCCTTAAACATTTGTATAGTTTTAAATGATACTCTGCCTAACTCGCCATATATGAAATCATTCTGTGTAGACTTTTTTACACCAAGTAATTTTTTGCAAAATTGCAAATGTACTTTCTCAATAGCTAAATTATTTGCAAAACAACAAACTTCACAACAATAGTTCAAGATAGGGGATACAAGCTTATCGAACAATTCTAGCTTATGTTTTGGAGGTATATAGGTAATAGGTAATATACAAGTTTAATGTAATGGAAGAAAATAATAATAATAATAATATCGTATAACGGAAATAATTGAAAGCAATACTTGTCGACATAAGAATTCCTTTGTTATGGCTACAACAAAGATCATAATATAATATCATTTCAGATATTCATAAAAATAGAATATTTGATATATATAAACAATCTTGATATTCAGAAATAAGTAATTCAAGTAGATTACAAACATAAAGTATGTACAAGCATGACCTTGAATTCGAAAAAAATCTTAACTTTTGTAAACATAAAATAAATAGAGAACAACTGACGCAATTGACGTTATCATCACATAATACAGAAAGTGAAATTGGTTGGCACAATAGAGTTCCAAGAGAAAGAGAAATATACTATGTCAACAATGTAAAATGAACGTCATTGATAACTGAATTCCAAAATTTATTCGTTCGAAAATATGTTAACCTTCGTAAAAGTTTAAATTTTTGCCGTTGGCCTACACTTCAGAAAATGGAAACTTTAATGTCATCAGAAAAAACAACAACTAAATAATATGTCAAGATATTTATTTCTTTCTCTAATGGTAAGAAACTCTGACAAACTTTTATACTGTTAGAATAACATATCTGAAAACATTTTGTATGATTGTATTTGTATTGTTAATTGCTTAATCTAAATGAATATCTGTTATTAATTACTTCTCTGAAAACATTTTTGAAGTGTATTATGAACAATTTATTGTAACATCACCTAAATTATGTTATTATGACTATATGATACAGGACGTTTAATGCTAATGGCTTCACTTCGAAAGATACTCGTATGTAATGAAGTGTTAACAACATTACTTTGAGCTTTTATCAAATGAAGATAATGAAACGCTTACTGTAAAGAAGCCACAATGCATCATAGCCACTGTCGGATAAATCAATTACGTTATCAGCAGTTTCCCAGAATAAAAACGCATGATGTTTTGAAATGGCGTGACAGTACGATCACGACATCGCCTGCGATGTAGAATTTATAGTAACAAAGGGCAACAAGTTTTATCAATTTTGACGTCAATGACAAATTAAAACGTTGACTGCAAAAAATAGACACCAAGGTGTATATTTTGCAAATAACTTGTAAGATTGTAATGAAACCATGTACGTAATAAATAATAAGGAAATAATGTCAATCAAAGATTTCAAAATGCAAAAGTATCTTATTGAGTTACAGTCTTTTTACAAGTAAGTTTCAAATAAAAAAATAGCTAAACTCCAACTCATAGTCTAGATTTTGAAAGGCCTTAACATGAATGAATATTTCATTTTGAAAATCATTTATTTCATTTGTTTGTCAGTAAATTGGTGTATTTTTGGCGTTATCGCTTTTAATAACTACATGCACATTCAATGTAATAAGCAACCGTTCTTTCTTGAGAGTCAAATATTGAAATTCTTTTAATTGTTAATTTCACTATAGACTTGATGACGTTTGTGTTATGGTAGATTTCGTCAATTTCTTTGAAAATTTCCCATGTTAACAATTTGATATCAAATAATGTCGATGTGTGGGTACAAGCGAACTTGTTACTAGAACGGTTGATTTTCGACCTCTTTCAAAATATAAAATATATTTGTTTAGTTTAAACGTATTTAATCCAAATAGTATAAATAGATGATTATTTTACAAGCATTCAACTGCTACATTCTTAAATATAGGTTATACTATAAAATAAAATATGTAAAAAATACCTTTGAAAAAATGTGAAGGGGTAAACGTGGAGGGTTTGAGGTGGGGAAATGCTTAAACAATGTTCGGCATTTAACCTTACTATGTCTATAGTAAAGCAATCGGCTAATCTTCTATAATAAATTAACCCATAAAGCAAAGTTTTCAAAATGTATTATGATGAGAAGGTCGCCATTTTGCCGTATATAAAGAAAGAGTTTGTCCGCGATTTCTCACCAATCATCTTTGAGGACGCTGAGTACCAGGTAGTTGCTACAATGGGATCCAGTCACAAAGCTCAAGTCAAGATACATATCAGACCGAAGAAATTTGAAGATCTTGCTGCGAATATAAAAAGCCAGATTCAGAAAAAATAAGTATTGAACATTTTGCATTAATAACAAGTCATTTAACAATGATGGGATTAAGATTAAAAAACTGTCCCTTCTTTTATAACTCAAAACGATTAATAAAAGGAATATAAATAAATAATATAGCTTCAAGTAATGAAGAGCTTTCGAGTTGTTTTTTAAATGTAAGGTACCGGATATGAATAAAAACCTGTCATAAATACATGTTACTTATGTATGCGTGCATCACAAGTTTAGTTTGATACGACTTTGGTTCATGTGAAAGGGCTAATGGTCGGTCGCCATCAATTTCCATCTTTGACACTACATGTCATATATTATCTTAACAAAGAAAAAAATGTAGATCTATTCAAATATTTAAAATCTTTTGGTATACAAATGTATATAAAAAAATATGTATATTATTTATATTCTTGAATGTAAAGGTTAGATATTTTTTATTCATTCATCCGACTGACACTCGTAGTAATTATAGAAAAACTTGTTATGATTAAAAAAATGATGATATCAACATTTAAAACAATTAAATATAAAGTGATCAATTTTCAGCATGTATCTAACTGTAAACTTAGAAAATAATTTTTGAAAGATTGTAAAGTCGAACATTGTTTGATAGTAATAGGTAATTATTTCCAAACGTCAATACTGAAATAAGAACAAGATCTTTATGAGCGATTGAGCGTAAATTATGTAATTCATTGTGAGAGAAACTAAAAATTTCACTCAAATATAACGGTGCCAGATTGTTAGATTTATACACCATTACTATGGTGTGGTATTTCACTCTAAAATTGAATTTCAGCCATTTAAGTTTATTCAAAAGATCTAATGTTGGTGAACGTGTCGGTCTATTAAGTATGACTTATGCAGCCCTTTTTGAATTGAGTTTACTTTATTGATGTATGAGTATTGTTTAAGTGTGAAATGAAATTTTATCATTTTTTATATATTTTCATGGTTTGAATGTAATAACACGTGCTACATATAAGATGCATTGTTTGCAATGCCTTTAAAATAGTTTATGTACAATCTTTATCATTCGGACATACATGTATATGGATTTTTGAAACTTAATGACTATTCTGGACTGAACAACATCAGTGCCTTCAACGCTTTGATTTTGAGTGTCTGACTTAATTTATATATAATTTATTTTAGTAAGCTATAAGGTAATAGATAAACTCGATCGTTTCTGAAAACAACCAATGCTAAACAATGCGTGTAAAGTAGGAAACAACAGGGTTTGAGCTCATGCGATTAGTCACCATTAGATCTCTAGTCATATAAGTTTACCGCAAGTTTGCTAAGTTCGCGACTTTTTCATTATTGTAGGATAAAAACACATGTTTTAAGCACATGCATGTTCCCGCGTAATCAATATCATAAATCAGAGTAAAATGATAAAACGTGCACTTGACATATTTGTTTGAAAACGTCTGTATTTTATCTGACTTTATTTGAATTTTATTGATATAGAGAAGACAGAACAAATTTTAGAGCTTTGAACATCAACCTCACGTAGACCATTTGTCCAAATGAAGTTCATCGATCTAACTGAAACAAAATAATGACATATTTGTTCATAATATATATCTTGTGCTATTGAAGTTAAAGTAGAAGAGTTTGTACTAAGATGAATAGGAAATTATGTAAATATCTAAACGCACGAACAATGAAATAGTTTGAGATATCATCATTTCATATTTTAGCTGGCCTATTGAGAAACCTTGATAAACCAAGCTGTATTCAAAAGATATCTTATGTTTACCATAAGCTTTATTTTTTGTCCATTTCGATTTTACTTTGTGTTGCTTTTTTATATTAATCATATCTTCAACCAAAAACTTCTAACATTTATCTTTTCGTACTTTAGGGTTTGTATATATTATGCTTGCTGTATGTACACCTCTGTTTATTATGTCATATATAATAGCGTAGCCTTGTTAGAAAAAAGGAGAAAAAATGTCTGATATAGATAAACATGTATCTTCAATGTATGAAACGCCATGACTGCCGCCTATACATACTTCTTAAATTGTGATGACCTCTTGATAAAGGATATTATCGTTTTGTCAGATAGTGCTGTGGGTTGAATTAATGTTGCTTTAGTTTTCATAGATGCGAATATCGTTTCGATAACTTGTATTGTCGGTTTGATAGATGGTGCTGTGGTTTGATACATGGTGCTGTGGTTTTGTTAAATTCTGAAGATGTTTGATAGATGGTGCTGTGGTTTAATAACTGTGGTTTGATAGATGGTGCTGTGGTTTTATAACTGTGGTTTGAAAGATGGTACTATGGTTTTGTTAAATGATGAAGATGTTTGATAGATGGTGCTGTGGTTTTATAACTGTGGTTTGATAGATGGTGCTGTGTTGTTTTTTTGTAAAATTGTACTGCGTTTTGTTGTTTTCTGTTAAGATATTTTGATGGCATTTGATAGATGGTGCTGACATCATTCATCAAAAAAAACAAAAACAACAGCATCAACTATCAAAAAGGCATCACCACCTTAGAAGTGTGAATAAAAGGCAGCTATGACCTTCCACATCAACGTATAACTTAAACATTGATAGTATTATCAGAACTACCTCCTTCGTTATCGTCACAGGTTACTCTGTACATTTTAGATGCCAATGACCGCTATACAGTGATCTACTTTTTGAATAAAAATACATCTTTTGGCTTATACTGTGTGGAAATTGCCCGGAAGTTATTCTGTGCGTATTTTTGTATGTCGTTTCATTTAACAAATATTACAAACAAACAAAATTGTAAGCATAACACAATCCCGTTCGAAAACCGCTTTTCTTCACTCCGATAAATGTTCAATCAGTATATAGTCCAGTGGCCTAATGCCCAGTGGACAACAGTTCACCAAACCCCTTCTGATATATACTACTGTTAAAACAGGCATGATGTTTTTTTCTAAAACCATATTAAAAAAGTAAAGCAAATTTGTTTTATAATCAGATGAAAATATTAAAGATTTAATCATTTTGGTAAAAAGGTAATACGTAAATGGTAGGGAGAAAACAACAAAAAATACTATTTCTTATTACAATTGGATACAAGATGTGAAGCATTATTTAAGTCAAGTATCAGTAATATAGACTATAACGATATAGCAGAATTAGTTGAGGGTTTAAATCCTTAAAATCTTGATGAATATGAGGCAGATGTATTCAACCCTAACCCTAGGTTTAAATTAATTAACTATGGTGTAAGGGGTAAAATGTTAGACGTTATTAAATCAATGTACGAAAGTGTAAGGTCCAGAATCAAATGTTTGGAGTGAAGAATTTTCATGCGTGTTAGCCGCCCCACAAGGAGAGTCTTTATCACCATGTATCTTAATGACATAGAAGAATATTTTATTATATGAATGAATTTGAAGAAAATTGTTTTTACTTTTAAATGCAAGAGATATCGTTATTCTATCTGAAACAGAAGAAGGCTGTGTGGCAACTGTAAAAAGTTGCCCCCGACTTCACTTCAGTGTTGTTATGTTGTTCTGGTCCTTCGGGAGGTGTTGAGAATTGAGTACCGCTCAAGCCGGTGCTAGGGGCGTGAGGGATGTTTTACTCATTCATTATCCCTCATGTACAGACTCAATCAAACCGAGTCTGAAATTCTTATGTAATTTTGTAGTGATAAATGCTTCCGACGGATCACTTTGTTTCCAGATTTTTATACTTCATAACTTCGGCAGCCAAGTGCTGTATGGCAGCTGTAAAAAGTTGCCCCTACTTCACTTCAGTGTTGTTATATTTTTCTGGTCTTTCGGGATCAATGATGCCAGCACTATTTAGTGTTGATAATTGAGTACCGCTCAAGCCGGTGCTAGGGGGGCGTGAGGGATGTTGCACTTATTAATTATCCCTCATGTACAGACTCAATCAAACCAAGTCTGCAATTCTTACGTAATTTTGCTGTGATTAATGCTTCAGAGGATTTTTATACTTCATAACAGCGGTTTCAAGTGATGTGTGGCAGCTGTAAAAAGTTGCCCCCTACTTCACTTCAGTGTTGTTTTTCTGGTCCTTCGGGATCAGTGATACCAGTCCTATTAAGTGTTGAAAAATGAGTACCGCTCAGCCGGTGCTAGGGGGGCTTGAGGGATATTGCACTTATTCATTATCCCTCATGTACAGACTCAGTCAAACCGAATCTGTTTTTTATATGTAATTTTGTTGTGATTAATGCTTCCGGTAGATCACTTTGTTTCCAGATTTTTTTTTTACATAAAGGTTTATTGTTATCGGAGAATTATTGTGATAAGTGGAGATTAACTGTTAATATTAAGAAAACTAAACTAATGATTTTTAGAAAAGGCAGACTTAGGCATAACATTTCATTTGTATATTAAGGGGAACATTTAGAAATTGCCAAAATTATACATATTTAGGGGTAGTCTTAACAACTGGTGGATCTTGTAATACTTGTTTTGAAATACTTTCTGTGCATTATATAAATTACAACTAGATTTGATTAAATTCCCATGTATAACTGTGAAACATAAACTAGACCTGTTTGATAAATTTATCTCACTCATTTTGAACTATGCTTCAAAGGTAAGCGGAATATATGATTGTTGTAAATTAGAAAAGGTGCATTTAATTTTTGTAAAAATTTGATAGGCGTCAGAATACGAACCCAGAACAATTTTATTTATGGAGAACTAGGTAGAATAAATTTGAAATATAGAAGAATTGTAAGCGTAATAAAATACTGGCTTAACATCATACAGATTGAAGATGTAAATATGTTAAAATAGGTTATGATTTATTGTACAGAGAGTTACATGTAAGACCTAACAGAAAACATGGCTTATAAGTGTGAGAGTTTTATTATAGTCACTTGGATTTTTGATGTATGTGTAGGCAATGTAGATGTATTTATTAGTTTAGTAAAACAAAGAGCAAATGATGTTTTTATCAAAATTTGTTTTCAGAAATAAATAACTCAACTAGAGCTCGTACATATGTATTATGTTCAGATTTTAAATTTCAAAAGTACTTAAACTGTATTGATATTGAACAGAATAGAACAGAAGTTTATTCAACAAGATTGACTTGAACACATCGGTTCATCGTCATTCACATATACAATTGTACATATATATTGAAAAATTTAGAATTGCACTGTCCCGGTATTAATACTCGAGATTGAAATTATATTAACTGGCAGGTGGAATAAACCTAGTGTTATACAAAATTTATTTTAGTTCAGTTGTGTAGTAGGAAGCTATAGGCTTATAGACACACTTTCGAATCCGTTCTGGAACCAACCAGTAATGAGTGCAAAGTCTCTGGCTCAAAAAACAACAACTTGCCCCTGACAGGGGTTTGATCCCATGAGGCGATCATTAGATTACTTGTCCGTCGCATTAACAACTCGGGAATGCCGCAACTTTTAATAAAAGGAAATGTAAAAAATGTTTTATTTTTGAAGATGGATTTCACTTTCTTTAAGAATGTTCGCTATAAAATTATCATGAATTACGCAAAAAAGATAAAAAAAAAAACACTCTTGGAAAAGACCTAAATTTGTTGCATTGATGAATTCAGAAAATGAAATAGAAATTAGAAACTTATCAATGTGTATTTTTAATTCTTTACAGTTAATGAGACGCTGTATCACTGTTTCTTATATACACGTACTTTTGTTTTGTTTTGTGATTTACTTCCTTATTAATTGGATGGTATCTGTTCTTTGTATTTATTTACCAGTAATATAATTTGAGACCTGTTGATACTTGTGTCACTAAGTACGTGATAGTATATTCTATTATTAGTTAACGTTTTCTGATTGTTTAAAATACTGTGTAACTTAATGATATAGTTTTTATAAAGTATTGGCATTGACCATTTCATTGTATTGTATGCTTATTAGTTCTGTTATACTTCTGTGTACGCATTGGCATTTTGCCCTAATGTACTTTGAAATATACTCTTGGAACTCTTCAATGATGAAGAAATCTTGAAAACAGTAAAAACATGAAACAAATGTTCTAGTATTGAGAAGATGGCACTATTCCTAAAATATTCGTGTTTTTTTTTTGTTTGTTTTTTTTTAATTGAAAAGTTATTAGTATTTTGTATATGTTTTAATAAAATTTACAACGACGTTTTTCCCAGAATCATGGATAAAATGTGAAGAGATGCACCGCTGTATAGAAAGTGACAAGATTTTTGTTTAAACATTATTTTACTTGTACAATATTTCACTGTATATAAATGTATTGACATGTATATGTTGAACTAGAGGCCTAATATCAATGAACTTTGTGCCATTGTCTTTGTCATTGTATAGTTATTGATATGACTTGTATATATAATGTACGTAAAGATATAAATATGCAATATAATGTCATTAAACTCGTACACTTTATAATGGCCAAAAATGATTTCAAGACATGGGCGCGCAATTATCATCTCGATACTGTAATCAAACTAGCTTTTGAACAAGGGTCAAATAACGTTATCTTGAGATAAAACTATGTGCTTCGACATAATTTATGGATAACAATCGCGGCAACACATATTCGGTTTTGAACATTTTGAAAACTTTAAGCTATTTTCTTTAGGTTTATGTATGATCATAATGGATTCTTCGGAAACGGGTTTTCATGCAAATAGGCTTCTTCCTGGAAACAATCTAGCAGGAACAACTCTAAACTCGCTAATGGACGATGGTTACAGTGTCACTTGTGGAATACAGATTGATAACAGGACAAATTGTTCTCTGACAAAGCCTCAGGCTTATATAAATGGCGGGGTTTTATCAATTCCACCTGTTACTATATTTCCTGAGACGAGGGAAGCAATGATAGCTCGTAAGACTGGCTATACTGCTACAGGTTCATACGGGACAGTTTCATGGCTTATAGAATCTACAGATGACCGTGAACAACGTCGCCTTATTGTTATGTGGTGTGCACCATTTAACCATGACTTTTACGACAACACCCTTGCTGTAGGTCTCACAAAACCAGGACACATAGAACATCCAAAAGGACAAGATTGCTTCTACAGTATGTATGATAATATGGGTAATGTTTCGGATGTGGTAAAGTACGACAAAAAGAAGTTTAACCGCGAAATTTCACAAATTTCCATCGAGGACGATGTTTGTCATGTAGTCGCCACGATGGGATCTAGTCACAAAGCTCAAGTCAAGATTATTTTCACACAAAAATGACTATTTTCTCTAACATATTATAATTTGAATTACAAGAATATTTAAATGAAAATTAAAGTTTATATTGAGTATTTGTTGATTTTCCGAAAGGACCTTGATTGTATATAGGAACATCTTATGATTGAAATCATTTAAACTTTATGTATAAGAGGTCATTTACTTCAAATTCCCACGAATGTATGGTAAAGTAAACTCATGTATCAATCATGGTATAAAGTGTTAATATTCACAGTAGAATTATGTCAAAAGGAGGTATATTTTGTCTTATAATATGTAGAAAATGATTAGTTGATTACCATGTAGGAACTATGTATGTAGTTGTTTATATCTATATTTAATTAAGACGATAATATACTGGACCAGAAATAATACTTCTATATTCATGACCACCAAGTGCCATGTGACTATTGTATGTTATGTTTTGTAAAATGATGTACTTTGTGTAAGTCTTGAATACAATTTCAGTTATGTTCTTTTCATGTAAAGTTCTAAAGCTTACATCTCTATTTTTATCAAAATGACATTAAATTATATTGTTGACCTACTATTATCGTTGATCAAATAATGTTGCTATTATATATTTTCCTGTATATGATAATGTAAAATGCACTTTGAATATATTATTTCTATATTTACATCTTAAAAATCAAGACTACGGTACTACTGTGAATAAATGATAAATTGTTGTTTGACTCTTAAAGTATTATGTAACATGTCATTTTACGGTACACTTATATAATTAGGTATGGTAGCTTGAAATTAAAGGGAAAAAGTCTAGAGCTGTCAATATGAAAGCACACTATTCACTGTGATTCATACATAGTCAAACAAACGCCTGAATAATTTAGATATTAAAAAAAGGAACATTTCGTTGCTTGTGTCGTCTTAAGCGCCCCACTGTGTTCCTCAGATGTATGTCTTATGTTGTTTCATACTGTTTTGGTGACACTTTTGCTTGTGTCCCTTGTTGTTTTCTCGTCTACGGTAAGTATCTTCCCCATTGCCTCTAGTTTTTATTTCTTTGATTACTCCCACCCCCTCCCAACCCCCCCCCCCCTGTCTCCTGTCACCTTCCCCTTTGTGGGCCTATTTTTATTTTCCTTGAATTCCTAATCAGTTACAAATTAATTATCATTTAATGATTAACCTGTCCGTGCTCTGTCTTTGCCCTGTCCTGTTTTTGTTTGGGGTCCCCCTGGGCTCCTTGCCATTGGTTCTTGTTGCTGGGTCATGTGGGGGTTGCGTTCATTGAACGCCGCCTTTCCTTGTTGATCTTGTTTATCATATTTTAAAACAATATCAGATGTTAAATTCTATCATGCGAAAGAGAATGAAATCTATTAAATACTAAGACCGCCTCTTTTCTTCTTTTTTTCTATAGTTAATACATAATAGAGAATAGATTAATGTTGCTGTTTTTTTTTTATTTCGGAAGAGTATACTGACCCTCTTACAGGAAGTCAAACTGTTCTCAGACGGATTTCGTCCGAAAAAAATCCAACTCACTTTATCACTAACAACCAAATAATTATTGTTCACTAAATAGTTCTTATCGTGATAGGCTCAACAGAAAAAAGGTCTAAACGTTTTTTGTTTTTTAGTTTTATTATTCAAAGGATTGCAGATGAAATTTTATCCTTTTTTACATATTTTCATGGTTTGAATGTAATAACACGTGCTTCATAAGATGCATTCTTTGCAAATGCCTTTGAAAATAGTTTATCATTCGGACATACATCTATATGGATTTTTGAAACTTAATGACTAAGCTGGACTGAACAACATCAGTGCCTTCAACGCTTTTATTTTGAGTGTTTGACTTAATTTATATATAATTTATTTTAGTTCGAATGTAATGGAAGCTATAAGAAAATAGATAAACTCGATCGTTCCTGAAAACAACCAATGCTAAGCAATGAGTGTAAAGTAGGAAACAACAGGGTTTGAACTCATGCGATTAGCCACCATTAGGTCACTAGTCATATAAGTTTACCGCAAGTTTGCTAAGTTCGCGACTTTATCATTATTGTAGGATATTGATAAAATCACATGTTTTAATCACATGTTCTCGCGTAATCAATATCATAAATCAGAGTAAAATGATAAAACGACCACTTGACATATTTGTTTGATAACGTCTCTATTTTATCTGACTTATTTGAATTTTATTGATATAGAGAAGACAGAACAAATTTTAGAGCGATAACATGTTTATTTTGTACATCAACCTCGCATATACCATTTCGTAAAATGAAGTTCATCGATCCAACTGAAACAAAATAATAACATATTGTTTTCATAATATATATCTTGTGCCTCCAGATGAGTCAAAATATTTCAATAAAATCAAATTTGAGAAATATGTACTACGATTTTAGGAAACGTAAAATAATGCAAGATTCAAGTAATATTTTACATGTTTTGTGCGGTTAATGACAGGTTTTTTAGTTTTTACAACTATATTTTTACTGCGTTACTAACGCAGTTAGGGCTATTTATGCATATTTTGACCACTTTTTGGTAATTTACATGACTTGTAAGTGCCTTTGATGATGTGTAAATGGATTCCATTTGGTTATTTCACAATATGATACATTGAAATACATTTTCAAAATTTTCATGAAAATTAGCATGAATCTGGAGGCGTGCTGCTTTAAAGTAGAAGAGTTTTTGCTAAGATGAATAGGGAATTATGTAAATATCTAAACGTACGAACAATGAAATAGTTTGAGATATCATCATGTCATATTTTATGGACGAGAGTTGGTCTATTGAGAAACCCTGATAAACCAAGCTGTAAAATATTTAAGAGATATCTAATGTTTACCACAAGCTTCATTTTTCTTGTCCATTTCGATTTTACTTTTTTGTTGCTTTTTTATATTTAGCATCTCCTCAACCAAAAACTTCTTCATTTTTTAACTTTTAATTCTTTAGAGTCTGTATAAATTGTACACCTCTCTGTATTATGTCATATATAAAAGCGTATCTTTGTTAGCAAAAATAGAGAGAAAATGTATAATATAGATATATGTTGTATATTCAATGTATGGAACGCCATGACTGCCGCCTATACATACTTCTTAAATCATGATGACCTTTTGATAAAGGATATTATCGTTTTGTCAGATAGTGCTGTGGGTTGAATAAATGTTGCTGTAGTTTTCATAGATGCCAATGTCGTTTCGATAACTTGTGGTGTCGTTTTGATAGATGGCGCTGTTGTTTTTTAAACAGTGATGTTGTTTTGTCAGATGTTGCAGTCGTTTTGTTTAACAGTGATGTTGTTTTGATAGATGGTGCTGTGGTTTGATACATGGTGCTGTGGTTTTGTTAAATGCTGAGGTCATTTTGTCAGATGGTACTGTGGTTTTGTTAAATGATGAAGATGTTTGATAGATGGTGCTGTGGTTTAATAAATGTGGTTTGATAGATGGTGCTGTGGTTTTGTAAGATGGTACTGCGTTTTGTTGTTTTCTTTTAAGATATTTTAATGACGTTTTGATAGATGGTGCTGAAATCATTCATCAAAAAGAAGAAAAAAAACAGCATCAATTATCAAAAAGGCATCACCACCTTAGAAATGTGTATAAAAGGCAGGTATGACCTTCCACATCAATGTATATCTAAAACATTGATAGTATTATCAGAACTACCTCCTTCGTTATCGTCACAGGTTACTCTGTACATTTTAGACGCCAATGACCGCTATACAGTGATCTACCTTTCGGATAAAAATACATCTCTGTGGGTTATACTGTGTGGAAATTGCCCGGAAGTTATTTAGTGCGTATTTTTGTATGTCGTTTCATTTAACAAATATTACAAACAAACAAAATTGCAGGCATAACACAATCCCGTTCGAAAAACGCTTTTCTTCACTCCGATAAATGTTCAATCAGTATATAGTCAAGTGGCCTAATGCCCAGTCCAAACCCCTTCTGAAATATATTACACTGTTAAAACAGGCATGATGTTTTTTTCTAAAACCAATGTAAAAAAGTAAAGCAAATTTGTATTATAATTAGATGAAAATATTAAAGATTCAATCATTTTGGTAAAAAGGTAATACGAAAATGGTAGGGAAAAAAACAACAAAAAGTACTATTCCTTATTACAGTTGGATACAAGATTTGAAGCATTATTTAAGTCAAGTATCAATAATATAGACTATAACGATATAGCAGAATTAGTTGAGGGTTTAAATCCTGAAAATCTTGATGAATATGAGGCAGATATATTCAACCCTAACCCTTTAAATTAATTAACTATGGTGTAAGGGGTAAAATGTTAGACGTTATTAAATCAATGTATGAAAGTGTAAGGTCCAGAATCAAATGTTTTGAGTGAAGAATTTTCATGCGTGTTAGGCGCCCCACAAGAAGAGTCTTTATCACCATGCATCTTAATGACATAGAAGAATATTTTATTATATGACTGAATTTGAAGAAAATTGTTTTTACTTTTATATGCAAGAGACATCGTTATTCTATCTGAAACAGAAGAAGGCTGTGTGGCAGCTGTAAAAAGTTGCCACGTACTTCACTTCAGTGTTGTTATATTTTTCTGGTCCTTCGGGAGGTGTTGAGAATTGAGTACCGCTTAAGCCGGTGCTAGGGGCGTGAGGGATGTTTCACGCATTCATTATCCCTCATGTACAGACTCAATCAAACCGAGTCTGCAATTCTTATGTAATTTTTTAGTGATTAATACTTCCGAGGGATCACTTTGTTTCCAGATTTTTATACTTCACAACAGCGGTTTCAAGTGCTGTATGGCAGCTGTAAAAAGTTGCCCCGTACGTCACTTCAGTGTTGTTATATTTTTCTGGTATTTCGGGATCATTGATAACAGCACTATTAAGTGTTGAGAATTTAGTACCGCTCAAGCCGGTGCTAGGGGCGTGAGGGATGTTGCACTTATTCATTATCCCTCATGTACAGACTCAATCAAACCGAGTCTGCAATTCTTATGTTATTTTGTTGTGATTAATGCTTCCGAGGGATCACTTTGTTTCCAGATTTTTATACTTCACAACAGCGGTTTCAAGTGTTGTGTGGCAGCTGTAAAAAGTTGCCCCCCACTTCACTTCAGTGTTGTTTTTCTGGTCCTTCGGGATCATTGATACCAGTACTATTAAGTGTTGAAAAATGAGTACCGCTCAAGCCGGTGCTAGGGGACTTGAGGGATGTTACACTTATTCATTATCCCTCATGTACAGACTAAGTCAAACCGAATCTGCAATTTTTATGTAATTTTGTCATAATTAATGCTTCTGATAGATCAATTTGTTTCCAGATTTCTTTTTACATAAAGGTTTATTGTTATTGGAGAATTATTGTGATAAGTGGAGATTAACTGTTAATATTAAGAAAACTAAAATAATGATTTTTAAAAAAGGCAGACTAAGACATTTCATTCGTATATAAAGGTGACATTTATAAATTGCCAAAACTTTACTTATTTAGGAGTAGTCTTTACAACTGGTGAATCTTGAAATACTTGTTTTGAAATACTTTCTTGGCATTATATAAATTACAACTAGATTTGATTAAATTCCCATGTATAACTGTAGACCTTTTTGATAAATTTATCTCACTAATTTTGAACTATGCTTCAAAGGTAAGCGGTATATATGATTGTTGTAAATTAGAAAAAGTGCATTTCAATTTTTGTAAAAATTTGTTAGGCATCAGAATACAAACTCAGAACAATTTTATTTATGGAGAACTAGGTAGAACAAATTTGAAATGTAGAAGATTTGTAAGCGTAATAAAATACTGGCTTAACATTATACAGCTTGAAGAGGTAAATATATTAAAATAAATTATTGTACAGAGAGTTACATGTAAGACCTAACAAAAAAACATGGGTCATAAGTGTGAGAGATTTATTATAGTCACTTGGATTTTTGATGTATGCGTAGGCAATGTAGATGTATTTATTAGTTTAGTAAAACAAAGAGCAAATGATGTTTTTATCAAAATTGGTTTTCAGAAATGAATAACTCAACTAGAGCTCGTACATATGTATTATGTTCAGATTTTAGATTTCAAAAGTACTTAAACTGTATTAATATTGAACAGAACAGAACAGAAGTTTATTCAACAAGATTGACTTGAACACATCGGTTCATCGCCATTCACATATACAATTATATTGAAAAATTTAGAATTGCACTGTCCCGGTATTAATACTCGAGATTGAAATTATATTAACTGGCAGGTGGAATAAACCTAGTGTTATACAAAATTTATTTTAGTTCAGTTGTGTAGTAGGAAGCTATAGGCTTATAGACACACTTTCGAATCCGTTCTGGAACCAACCAGTAATGAGTGCAAAGTCTCTTGCTCAAAAAACAACAACTTGCCCCTGACAGGGGTTTGATCCCATGAGGCGATCATTAGATTACTTGTCCGTCGCATTAACAACTCGGGCATGCTGCAACTTTTAATAAAAAGAAATGTAAAAAATGTTTTATTTTTGAAGATGGATTTCACTTTCTTTAAGAATGTTCGCTATAAAATTATCATGAATTACGCAAAAAAGATATAAAAAAACACTCTTGGAAAAGACCTAAATTTGTTGCATTGATGAATTCAGAAAATGAAATAGAAATTAGAAACTTATCAATGTGTATTTTTAATTCTTTACAGTTAATGAGACGCTGTATCCTGTTTCTTATATACACGTACTTTTGTTTTGTTTTGTGATTTACTTCCTTATTAATTGGATGGTATCTGTCCTTTGTATTTATTTACCAGTAATATAATTCGAGACCTGTTGATACTTGTGTCACTAAGTACGTGGTAGTATCTTCTATTATTAGTTTACGTTTTCTGATTGCTTAAAATACTGTGTATCTTAATGATATAGGTTTTATAAAGTATTGGCATTGACCATTTCATTGTATTGTATGCTTATTTGTTTTGTTATACTACTGTGTACGCATTGGCATATTGCCCTAATGTACTTTGAAATAAACTCTTGAAACTCTTCAATGATTTTTGTTTAAACATAATTTAATTTTACTTGTACAATATTTCACTGTATATAAATGTGTCGGCATGTATATGTTGGGCTAGAGGCCTTGTATCAATTGTCTTTGTCATTGTATATTTTTTATATGACTTGTATATTTAACGTACATTAAAATGTAAAATGCAATAAAATGTCAATAAACTCATACACTTTATTTTGGCGCAAAAAAAAGTTCAAAACATGCGTGCGCAATTATCATCTCGATTATATAATCTAACTAGCTTTTGAACAAGGGTCAAAAACTATGTGCTTCGGCAAAATTTATGGATAAACAATCGCGGCAACACAATTAAACATTTTGCAAAAAAAACGATAATCTTTAGATTTATGTACATATGATCATAATGTATTCTCCGGAAACGGGTTTTCATGCAAGTAGGCTACTTCCTGGAAACAATCTAGCAGGAACAACTCTAAACTCGCTAATGGACGATGGTTACAGTGTCACTTGTGGAATAGAGATCGAGAACTTGACTAAATATTTTCTAACAAAGCCTCGGGCTTATATAAATGGCGGGGTATTATCAATTCCACCTGTTACTATATTTCCTGAGACGAGGGAAGCAATGATAGCTCGTAAAATTGGCTATACTGCTACAGGTTCATACGGGACAGTGCCATGGCTAATATAATCTACAGATGACCGTGAACAACGCCGCCTTATTGTTATGTGGTCTGCACCATTTAACCATCATATTTACAACAACACTCTTGCTGTAGGTATCACAAAACCAGGATACATAGAACATCCGAAAGGAAAAGATTGCTTCTACAGTATGTATGATAATATGGGTAATGTTTCGGATGTGGTAAAGTACGACAAAAAACAGTTTAACCGCGAAATTTCACAAATTTCCTTCGAGGACGATGTTTATCATGTAGTCGCCACGATGGGATCCAGTCACAAAGCTCAAGTCAAGATTATTTTCACAAAAAATGACTATTTTCTCTAACATATTATAATTTGAATTACAAGAATATTTAAATGAAAATGAAAGTATATATTGAGTGTTTGTTGATTTTCGAAAGGACCTTGATTGTATATAGGCGCATCATATGGTTGAAATCATTGAAACTTTATGTATAAAAGGTAAATTACTTCGAAATTTCTAAAGATATGTATGAAAAAAGTAAACTCTTTTAAAGATCATGGCATAAAGTGTTCAAATAATCTTTAGCGTTATGTCTAAAGAAGGTAATTTTTTGTGTCATAATATGTAGAAAATGATTGGTTGATTCTCTTTGTTTAATCATGATCATCAAATGTGACTATTGAACATTATGTAAACATGGTATGTTTTGTAAAATGATGTACTAAGTCTTGAATAAAATTTCTGTTATGTTCTTTTCATGTGAAGTTCTATTTTTATCAAAGTGACATTAAATAATATTGTTAACCTACTATTATTGTTTATGAAATAATCTTGCTATTATATATTTCCCTGTATATGATAATGTAAAATGCATTGTAATTTTAAAAGTTTGCATATATTATCTCTATATTTTTTTTAAAAAAAATCAAGACTTATGTACTACTGTGAATAAATGATAATTTTTTGTTTGATATTTAGAAATATTGTGTAAACATGTCATTTTATGGTACACTTATATAAAATTAGGTATGGTGGCTTGAAATTAGAAAAAAGACTAGAGCTGTCAATATGAAAGCACACTATTCACTGTGATTCATACATAGTCAAACAAACGCCTGAATAATTCAGATATTAACAAAAAGGAACATTTCGTTGCTTGTGTCGTCTTAAAATAATATCAGAGGTTAAATTTTATAATGCGAAAGAGGATGAATTTTATTAAATACTTAAAAAAGACCAACTATTTTCTTCTTTTTTTTCTTTAGTTAATACATAATAGTGAATATATTAATGTTGCTGGGGGTTTTTTTTATTTCGGAAGAGTATACTGACCCCCTTATATATTTTAAATATTATGTGTCAAAGGTATAATAAAATATATTTTGAATATCACCCAAAATGTCAATTTCCAATAATTAAAGGTATTTTTCGTGAACACTTCATAACATTGGTGTTTTCTGATATTTGTTTAACTAGGGCATATGGTGATAAAATGAAATTCACCTGTAATAATAGTTTAAAGAACAATATTGGCAACAGCGCTAATTTCTTTCTACTCTGTTTCTAGCGCACCTGTTGGTTTTTATTTTTAGAAATTGTGCAGAAATGCTTTTATCTAGTAATCAATCTAGCAGTATAACAAACTAAAATTTTGTTTACATGTATTATTTAGTTGTAAATCAGAATTTGTTTCAATTCATACATGTAACGATCTTAAACTATGCGGATAAAAAGTATATAGTATTATTGTATAATGTATGCAATGTATTTGTGTGTACGAACTGGATAATTAAAAAATAAATAAAAAGAAAGTATATAGTAATCCATACATTGTCTGAAATAAATTATATAAATACATAAAAGTTTTTGGGCATTTAATAGCAAATGGCGTTATACTTTGATGTCAGCTGATAAACACAACAATATATAAAATAACACTGCGATTGACGTTTTGTTAACATAACAATCGACTTTCATCTTCTTGCCAAGCACATGAATATTTTTCCTATTAAAAATCTAGACAAGTTTGTCTTTGAAGATCAATAATTTAAAGTTTGTCTCAATATCTGGTCAATATACAGCTGTTCTCAGAGTAAGCTTGTATCATTTTATCATTTTATCATTTTATCAACATATATTGACAACTCTATTAATAGATCTTACTAATTTTAACTGTGTTATTGTCGGATAATGGACTACTCCATGTAGTCGCAAGTAATTGCTAACTTCTTCTCTTGTTTTATTTGAAACAATTTAGTGACTTGAAATGCAGCATTTTAAAACGTAAATGTTATGAAGACGTCAAAGCGGGAAAACATATTACACCCCAGGACTTGAGTTTCTGGTTTCGAAATACGTCTAAATGATATACTGTGTGGGTGTTAATACTAAACCAGAGTCTGTTGATGAGCACGTTCATTGTATAGTTCAAATTATATACTTTTGTAAAAAAATATCTTTATTTTATCATTTATTTATTTTGTGTGTATTTTTATTATTTGTATATTGGTATGTTTGTTTTTGTTGTTGTTGTTTTGAATATTGGTAGAATATTTAGTAATACATGTATTATAGTATTTTCATATTTTTTATGACTGTTATTATATTATATCCTTCATTCTCAAAATACAAGGCTAACTAAATCTCGTCCGGACAATTATATGGTAATTATATATATACAAGTTGGTGAGGTGGTTTACCTCGTGTATACATGTTTTTTATAGATCACGTTCATACACTCTGTAAAGTCATCAACTATCCGGCTCATTTGAATTCTCGAGTAAATCCCCATCATAAGATATGTTTTAGACAGTAAGGGAGAAAATGTTCACCTCTGATCTGAGATTTATAATCGGACTGTAAACCTCTCTGCACGAGTCACTGTTTTATCAATTCACTTACTTAACACACGTTCAACAACAAGATCTCGGATACTAGAATCGATATATATAATATTCAGTTTATCACTTGATCGTAGCTGAAATATATTTGGATGTTGAAAGTTGATCGATTCAATCAAAACTAGAAAAACATTTTTTGGCGTAATTCTGTGGGATTATCTAATAGCACGGCTATCTATTATGTGAAATATGGATCGATTATTTTTAGTGCAACAAACAATTGTTTATCTAGCATTAACATTTATCGTCCGAATATCTGAGTGTGACAGCGCACGCAAAATTAATGTAACAACACGTGCTGGGACTTTTATCGGTCTTTCATATGAAGTTGATTTCGATAAGGAAATCAGGAGTGCATCGTGTTTTCTAGGGATTCCATTTGCTAAAGCTCCAGTTGGTGAACGACGATTTTCGAAACCTGAACGTTACGGATATATAAACACTATATATAACGCTACCTATCACCGTCCTCACTGTATACAAACAAGAACAACTTATGATTACATACAAATATATCAACAAAGTGAAGATTGTTTATATCTTAATATCTACATTCCAGGTGATAATATAAAAAACCAGAATAAATATGCTGTTATGATATTTATTCACGGTGGAAGTTTTGTAGATGGGGGTGCGGATGCCTACGATGGCTCTAAATTGAGCGCGCTCAATGACGTCATCGTTGTAACTATAAATTACCGTTTAAATATTTTTGGATTTTTAAACAACGGAGACAACATAAAAGGTAATAATGGACTGTGGGATATGAAGCTAGCCATACAATGGGTACATGATCATATATCAGACTTTGGTGGGGATCCGACTAGAGTTACACTGTTTGGGAATTCAGCCGGAGGCGCTGCTGTGTTGTACCAGGCTATACATCCGGGCAATAGAAATTTGTTTCAAAGAATTATATCACAAAGTGGAAGCTGTTTCTCATTCTGGGCAATTCAAAAGAACCCCGTTCATAACTTTCGTTGGTATATTTCAGAAGTTGGATGTGAGAGGGGAGGTAACTCTGAAATTCTTAGATGTCTGCGTGAGAAATCTGTGGATGATCTTAAATTGGCAGAAACAAAATATACTACACAATTTGTGCCTTCAATTGACAATGACTTTTTACCAGAAGACCCAATATCGTTGTCAAGGAAACAAACATTTGCAGGTAAAAATGCCATGGATTTTTTCTCAGAGTTAGACTTGTTAACTGGAGTAACTAGTAATGACGGAGCGTTTGCTCTAGGTTACTGGACAGCAGGGATAGCCGAGAGTTATTTTGCTGATATTGCTACAGGGGTTCCAGAGACTTATTTCAAGGATAACTATATCCCCGAAATTGTTTCTGATATGTTCGATGATATACCTACAGTTCTTTTAGAGTCAATAAAACATCAGTACACGGACTGGTCAAAAGCCAAAGATCCCATCTCTGTGAGAGACAATCTATTAGAGTTTGAATCGGATGTTACATTCTTTGTCCCAGTGTCTTATACTTTGAAAACACACCGGAGATCTCAGGGTGATATTAAATTAAATAACTCGTATTTTTACGTTTTTAACCATAAACCCGGTTTTGCCCCGGAGCCACAATGGCTGACAGGGGCCACGCACGTCATGGAACTACCTTATATATTTGGGTTTTCAAAACCGTTACAGCACAAACTTATAGAGGATTATCGTGCTGTAGAACCATTTAAAGTAACCGATGAAGACCTTTATTTCTCTACTATCATGATGAAGATTTGGACCAACTTTGCAAAGACAGGGTAAGCTCCATACATAAACAACAAAAACATTTGAACCTTCATTTTATAACATTTATCTTTAATGACTTTTTTTACAAAGAAAATATTACACAGTCACTGGTAATATATGATAAACAAAGATGTGTACATGTGATATTTCTAGAAAATGCTATTTTTGCACGTGCAGAAGACCAGTAGTGTTATTAATCATAGCTTTTCGGTTTTAAGCGTCCTTTTTATCAAGTTTCCATGGTTACTGAACCCCACCTCTGTTCCTCATTTCTCAACATTCTTGCATAAAGCTTCATTCAACTGTTTGGCTTTTTTTTCTAAAGAATGGTAGGAACTTTATTTTATAACAGGAATATAATAATTCTGAAAAAAAAACACGACAAAATGTATAAAAAAAAGAGCACAAGGTATATGCATGGTTCTATTACATGAATTTACAATTTAATATTTTCAGAAATCCTAACTTAGATGACAATGCCACGGTCCCCACGTGGCCAACATTTGACAACATTAATCAACAATATTTGGAACTAGATGTAAACATGACGACAGAGTCAGTGAAGCATCATCTAGCAGCGTCACGTGTCGCATTTTGGGAACATTTAGTTCCAGTGCTGGCAAAATGCAGTACAAGTTGCGGCTCATGTTACGTAACAGTTGCTTCTTGCCTTGTTAAAACAATTATTTTGTGTGTTTTTAGTACATTTATCAAATAAATAACGATCAGCTAATTAATATTTGGAGAATAAAAAAGGGGAGACAACTGTAAAAGCGAGAAGGCAACCAATTAAGATTTACCTAGGTGCAGAGCACCAAGTCGATGTAATTAGAATTTGTTGACGTCGTGCTTCTGTCAACCTACAGATCTTTAATTACTGATAGGAGTTGCACCTGACCGGCCTAAAAGCAGTCACGTCCTTGAACTGAACTGTATAACTGGAACAGATCTCGAACTTTCTCGTGAGAGTAGATAGTAATGTTTGTACGTTTGTTTTTACTATGTGTATTAATATGGACACAAGAACACAAAAATCAACAATGTGTACCAATAACTCTTTAAAAAAAATGTTTGTTCGATTTATTTTTTAAAATGAATAATAGAGAACAATTATTCTATACAAAATATTAAAAGGTATCGCGTTACCGTCAAATGGAATGGAAACTAAATTATCAAGTATATATTTCATTTTGGACAGTTGAGTGCGTTTGACCTATTTGCACTATCAACGGAAAAAAAAGACATGCTGGGGTCATATCTGTCATGAACATTGAGGTAAAATGCGTTTGAGAAAAACAAGTGCGAGACGTTACTTGTCACAATTTATTATATTTACATGTATATATTTTGTTTTTACTTGTATTGTACGTATAACCCGACCGAAAGAAAACCCGTATTGTACATACAATCCGACAGAAAGAAAATCCGTACTGTACGTAGTTGATACGAGAATGATCCGGAATGACGTCACAGGCGTAAAATAGTTACGTTATGGTAAAATATAGTTTGACTTCTGGAGATATATAATAAAAGGGGTTATTATATGAATACCATGGATCTATTATTTGTATAAGTCTCCCTAGGGTTATACTTTAACATATAATCCGACGGGTTCCCCACTCTCAATCAAATACATATCTATATCAACATTTATTTAATCATACTCTGCGATTTTTTTATTTATTTGGATCTAGAATTTAACATTGATGAGTACAATACGGGATTTATTTGAACATATCATACGAGACTAGTCTCCCAACTAATATGTCTTTTTTACCAGCTGCACATGTATACTTGTCGAATATATTCTACTGAGTAGTTCAATGATGAAAAACATTTATATACTTATTGCTGAATTTTCGTCATAGTTTTATTACGGAAACGTATAGCGACCACCCCTATATGATATATATCAAATGACATTTTTTATAGTTTTATAGTATGTTTCTTATATGTAAATATGATGTGAGGAAAGAAATGCATATTTAAAAAGATGTAAGTGTATTATTTTTTCATTTTGTCAGAAAGTTAAAAGTAGTTTATCTTGCATTATAAGATAAAAAAACGTACGATAGATTACGAAAAAATACGTATTATATTTGATTTACAACATAACTTGATTTAATTGCTTCCTTTATATATTGCGTGGGATTTTTCTGTCCTCATTATCTATTAACTGTAAAATATGTTATATTATAATAAAAAAAACCTCAAATATATATAACTAATACATATAAATGAACAGAAAAAAACTCACATAAATTTTAATCGAGCAATATTAACAGCAGATTGAGTAAAAAATATATATTCAATATCAAATAACAATTAAAATATTGGTCAAATATATATCATGTGTTAAATAAATTGTCTAAAATTCTGTTTTACTAACATTCAAAGGCGGAAGATATTACTAGATACATATTTCAGATCAAGTAAGTTTGTAAAAATTGGTTAGGTATATAATATTTTTTAAATAAATTGTCAAAAATTCTGTTTTAACTAACATATAGGGGTGGTCGCTATACGTTTCCGTAGTTTTATATACCGTTTTATATATATGATATACATTATGTTAAAATCTATTTTAAGAAGAAAACCGGATTTCATTTGTATGTAAAATCTATCACTGATACATCAATATTGAAGATATTTAAAACATGAGTTTATAACTGTAGATGTTGACTTGTTTACATAACAAAATGCAACATTCATGCCGTCACACAAAACAGAAAAAAGCAACAACAAAAGTAATCATTTGTAATACAGTAAATAAAATAAACAATCATGAGTGCGTTTCGTATTCTATATATATGACATTGATTTTTTTCTCTTAGTTTATCATCCGAAAACATATACAAATAAAAACAACTGGGACATAGTAAATGCTACATCAAGTAAAACATTTATAAAGCAATTCATTAAGATATGAGTCGCATCATGACAATTTTACCAACATTATGCGTTTGCGACCAGCATGGATCCAGCATGGTTCGCTATCAGTTTCTCTACTTGTTATAGGGTTTGTAAGCGAACAGCATGAATCCTGATCAGACTGCACGGATGCGCAGGCTGGTCTGGATCCATGCTGGTCGCAAACGTACTATGTTGGTTTTGTCGTGACGCGGCTCATATAGTTATATTAAGAAGCAGTCAATGTAGAAAGAAAAAATACTAAATCAGCGTGAGACTTACAAATACTATTTTCAAATACTGTATTCAAAAACGTCGTCAGTGTTTTTATGGACCTTTAAAGCTTATCACCCAAAAAATGCTGAAGATTTTATAAACAACCTTTTCACAATATTGTTCCATCAAGCGTGAAAAGTTAAAGTGAAATTTGAGTAAAACCTTATAAAGTTTTAAACTTCATTTAAGGAAAGATACTACGTGTCACGCCTAAGTAATTTGTATAGCTAGGTTGTTAATCTAAACCTGACATTGAATAAATATAATAAAAAGCTGACTGTTATCACGAATGCTTTATTAAAAAACACACTCTCGTAAATATAACGAAAAATATAGACTTAAAATGGATAGCCAACTTTGTTTTTTGCTGTTAGGTGTCGTGCTTTTTTCGGATTTAACGCTTGTTAAATCAGAGGAGACTAGGATAAATACAAAACTAGGAACTGTAGTTGGAGAAGCAGAATTCGTTGAGTTTAATGGTGAGATTAAACCTATTGTTCGCTTTCTGGGAATTCCTTACGCTAAACCTCCTATTGGTGAGAGACGGTTTGCTAAACCAGAACCTTATGGGAACTTCAGATCACTACACAACGCAACTTATCACCGAGCACACTGCATGCAGACACAGCTCTCCTTCCAATACATTCAAGAATATAAACAAGACGAGGATTGTTTGTATCTTAATATTTACATTCCGGGGAATTACAGTTACACTTCACAGAATCTTCCTGTATTAATGTATATACACGGGGGAGGATTTCTAGATGGCGGCGCTGATATCTATGTCGGTGATACTCTAAGTGCTTTCCATGACGTTATCATTGTTACAATAAATTACCGTCTGAATGTATTTGGTTTCCTTAGTGATGGAACGGGCGAATTATTGGGTAATTTTGGTCTGTGGGACATGAAACTTGCCATACAGTGGGTGCATGACAATATAGATGACTATGGTGGGGATCCAACTAGAGTAACATTGTTCGGACAATCAGCCGGTGGCGCAGCCGTCATGTACCAGGCCATAAACCCTAGTAATAGAGGTCTCATTCAACGGGTGGTAGCACAGAGTGGAAGTATATTCGGCTACTGGGCATATCAGAAGAAACCAGTTAGTACGTTTGATTGGTACGTGAAGCATGTTGGATGTGCTAATAGATATTTCTCTGAAATCATGAAATGCCTCAGACAGAAACCAGCAAGTGATCTTAAAATACCGGAGAATGATTACACGCTCCAGTTCGTGCCGAATATTGATTCTGATTTTCTACCCGAGTCTCCCGAGTCATTATCAAAAATGAATACAAAAGCTGGAAAAGATGCAATGAAATTCTTCTCAGAAATAGACTTCTTAAACGGTGTGACGAGTGATGATGGGAATTTCGCAAGAGCATATTGGGCAGCAAGAATGATGGCTGAAAATATAGAGACTGACATGAATGTTACTGCAGGTGTCCCAAAGTCTTTCCTCACAGATGTCTACATTCCAGAGAAGCTGTCTGGTATGTATGATACTGTGCCGGAGATTCTTAAACGGTCCGTGGTGTTCAAGTACACTGACTGGGAGAATGACACGGATCCGTTTCTTGTACGAGGACAATTACTTCAGTTTGAATCAGACGTTGTTTTCTTTGTACCAGCATCAACTTCATCAAGGGTACATCAACGATCAATAGGAAACTCTTCAACATCAGGACGCAGTTACTTTTATGTTTTCGACCACAAACCAAGCTTTGCCCCGAATCCCGAATGGTTAAAAGGTGCAACGCACGTAATGGACTTGGCTTATATATTTGGATTTCCGGAACCTTTTCAGTCCAAGTTGATGAAGGATTACGAAGCTGTTAATCCATTCACAGTTAAACAAGAAGATTATATCTTCTCTAAAGTAATGATGACATTCTGGAGCAATTTTGCAAAGTCAGGGTAAGTAACTCTAGATTGTCTAGTATCTACAGGTATATCACTACACTTTGTCAAAGCTGGGTAAGTAAAGCTCGGCAAATAACTACAACTTGTGCTAACTGGGTTAATAATTTGACTTCCGATAGCTGGGTAAATAATACAATTTACGACAACTGGATTAAAATCTACGACTTCTGAAAGCCGGGTTAAGGTAACTACAACTTCCAATAGCTCGACAAATAACTATGACTTCTGAAAACTAGAAGAGTAACTGTAACTTCCAATAGCTGGATAAATAACTACATGTACAACTTGCGATAGCTTGGTAAATAACTATCAGCTGCGATAGCTGGATAAACTACGACTACGTATTTACAACTTCTGATAGCCGAGAAAGTAGCTACAACTTCCAATAGCTGGGTAAGTAACTATAACTTGCAATAATCGGATAAACAACTACAACCTCTGACAGCTGGATAAGAATCTACAACTTCTGATAGCCAGGAAAGTAACTACAACTTCCGATAGCTAGGTAAATAACTACAACTTCCGATAGCTAGGTAAATAACTACAAATTGCGATAGCTTGATAAATAACTATACAATTTCTGGAAGCTGGATAAGTCAGTATGACTCCCGACAGCCAGGTAAGTAACTACAACTTCCGATAGTTGGGTAAAATAAAGTTTTACGTCACTCTATCATTATCTGTGAGTTTAAAGGTATTTTTCTCATCATCGTGTTTTACACATCTAAACTTATAACAACAAAAAGTTCTAAAAGAAAACATGTTCAATCTTTATGGTAACTATAGGTGAAAAATATAGGGTCTGCATTTCATTGTTTTATTTATTCATTTTTTTTTTTTTTTTTTTTTTTTTTTTTTTTTTTGAAAATCGTGACAAAATAGAAGATATCTTATGTCTCGATTATACGAAAGAGAAAAACACGAAAAAAGGAGGATCTGGGTCTTTTTTGACTTGTGAAAGATTTGTTGAATTGTTTTAAAGGCGGGAAAGAAGAAAATTCTGATTTGTCGCAAAGTATCTTTGAACAATACCAACATATCGGCTGTTTCGTCTCTAATTAGGAACAATCGATGAGGTGTCCGAAGTTAAAGGAGCTGCAAAATTTCAGTACATGGTTCACTCGGTCATATTATAATACTGGAAATATTTAAACTTTTTCGAAGCATGAGATGATAAAACACAATTTAGAATACAATAATCAATTTATACAGTTAAAAGAATGAACCATTGTTTGTAAAGTTAAATATAACTGAGGTCATGGTGACCTCTCCAATAATGTTAATATGATTATTTCTTAATTTAGCAAGACTATAATTTTCAAAAATTACCAAACATTAATTTAACCTGTACTAACTATATATTTTATATTTTACCATGCATTGTTTTGTTGTTTTTTTTTTAAATTTTAATTATTGTTCGTATTGGAAGAGTTTGCCAGCCTAATTATTTAGCATTGACAGGTTACCTTCTTTCACAGTATCTGTTAAGAAGAACATGAGGGAAGTTTGTAATATTTCAATACTTTTTTTAATGAGTTTTCAAATCTATAGGTATATGAATGGTTTTAACTCATTTCGTTTATCATTAAACACATTCTATATGTAATGATGCATTTCTTTTAGTCTAAGTAATACTCATTTTTAAATTCTAATTTCTACTTTTTTATGGTTGCGTCTTGGTATTTTGCCAAATACTTTGACAATAGGTTTAAGTTTGTGAAGGTGATATAATGAATGTTATAATTGAATAATAATAATATTATTTTATTGAATTTTGTCTTAAGCTAAATATCTTATGCTTATTAATTTTATCATTTGCTACTTAGTTAATTTATTCTATTTTAACTTGAATAATGTGATACAATGATGTAAGTCTAGTCGGTGTTAAAATAATTGCAATCTAACTGTGATAATATTTAATTGAAAGTATTTATTTGCACTGAGTAAAGGCTCTCTATGTCATGCCACCAACACAGGGGACCACAATGGAAATAAGAGTCTCTTTTTTCTTTGCTATCCTTGGTGCTGGTGTACATATCATGGCTTATCTATTTTCATGTATGTTTAAAATGTTTGTGTCATACATGTCGGTTTAAATACCCATGTATATGTATTCTTATACCGAAATCTAAATCTTATTTAACATATGATGTACAATTAACATATTTAAAGTATATATTTCACTGTGTATATTTCACCATGTATATAGTGAGATATCACTACCACTTTATTTTGAACAACACTGTAGTAGTAATACAAGCTGTAAAACTGTAGTCAGTGAATTGTATCAATTTTATTCAAGTTAACTATTCGAAATCAAAGAAGTGTGAAAATTGATATTAAAGAAAATGATACATGACCTTCAAATAGTTGTAATTGAATAGCGTGTAAAATAAATGCGTCTACAAATGCACGTGGAGCGTTAAAATTTAGTTACCATGATTTACATTTTGTTGACCTGAAATATTAGATATTGTTTGGACATTATTGCCTTATTTTCTATCTTACAGTAATCCTAACTTACCTGTATCTAACGATGATGTTGGTATACCAGTGTGGCCTCAATACAACCTACAAGATCAAACATATTTTATTATATCAACGAATATGACTGAACAGTCCGTGCAACATCACTTTGATGCCGCCAATGTTGCGTTCTGGGAAGACGTGGTTCCATTGTTAACAGATTGTGACAATAATAATATAATATCGTCTGCATCGACTCTATACTTTCATTCTCTACTTCTCTGTGCTGTTATAATGCTGTGCTTATTTAAATAGAAAATAATATTTGATATATTAGCTCTTTATACTTAATCAGTGACTTGTATTTAAATGTTATAATTTTAGTGAACTTTCGTCATCATTGTGTCTTAATGTTTTCTAAATAAGCTTGTGATTAAAGTGATATATAACTTGCATTCTTTGGTTATAAAATACATTTAGCTCAAATAATGTTAACTAGTACCACATTATGTTTAAAATCACAATAAAAAATGTTGTATTTTTGCAGAAAAAGTAAAGTATAAACTAAAAGTTCTGTTTTATAATGTTGTAGAAATGAATTTAGAACTTTGCTTATCACCTCAAGAAAACATTGATTATGAATGTGAAATAACTAAAGACAACAATACAATCATTTTGACATTCAAACTAGAACATCAAATCACTTTAGCTGTACTGATTGCCAAAACACACACACACACGCACCAACACACACGCGCGCGCGCACGCAAACACGCGCGCGCGCACACACACACGCACGCAATCACACACACACGCAGCCAAAAGATGGATCAATTAGGTAATTGGCCAATGTGTAACTTTTTTGAAATTGTATAGGACACAAAAAATATAAAGAGTAATATAGGGTCTTTTTATTAATAATATAATGCTTCTGAAAAATTTAAATAAAATGTGATAAGTATTTAACGATAAGAAGGATCTTTCAATTTCGGTCATATGATGTTATATTTGAAAAACAAAACAAAGATAACTGTTGTTCATAGATATTACTGATTTCGTATTGTATATGACTCTCACAACTTTTGTTCAAACTAAAATACAACAACACTCAATTCTTATAATCTTTATATTGTAGAAAAAAATCTTTGTCAAATATGTTGTAATAAATTAATGTATACATGTAAATAGTTCCAGTCTTTATCATCTCTTTTTTTGTGTAATGTAAAGCCTCTTTAGAGCGACCATCTGAGATCAATTAACCTCTATATAACGACGGTATTTGTAGACTAAACATTCCCATTATATTTTACCTCTGAAAATGAACACTTTGAAGTAACAAACAATTTTTTGTGTTCCAAAGTTTGTTTCTCTGTAGAGGTTATATCATATAACTTGTATTGTAAGTTGATGATAAACATCAGCTGGTGTTTTCATGTTTTGTTTAATAATAACATTCTAAAATTAATGGAGCTAATCACGCATTCAAGCTTGATACTATCAATAAAGGTGATATATCATTCATCTAAAACCTCTATATTTTCGGATAAATCAAAAGGAAAAAAAATAATTAAACTAAATTTGCTTAAAGCAAATTAACTGTAAGTGGCGTTGATTCAGTCATTAAAAGCCTCGATAAAGTTAAAGTAATCGCTAACTAAACTAATATTCGTCCTCTTCATTCATTCTTAAATAGAATAGTAGCACGTGAATATTCCGTCTGTGTCTATGAACGCTGCATCTCCTGTTACTTTACAAGATTGATTTTAGAATAGATACGATGAATTGTGTGATTCTTACTAGAGTGTTGAATGAAGACATTCATCAATGTTAAACCTCGTTTACTTTGACTGACAATACACGAGATAGTATCTAATGAAATTATTCTATAGTTTTTCATTTCCTTCTCAATTCAATCACCAGCAGCGATCTTGATTTATCATTAATTCAGATAGAACTGTTCTCCAGGACGACCATCTATCATTCATGTAAAGCACCACTCAACAATATTAAATGTTGGTTTTTCGGAGAAAGTTGAAGATCTACCAATTATTGTAACATAAAGTATATCTCACATGTTCATACTGCTCACTATATAAGATTAACTATATGATATACTTGGGTACTTGGGCTACCTCTTTCCTTAACAAATGACATTAATTATTTATACATCTTATGTATAAAGAGGAATAGATAGTAAACAGTCAGGATTATGTAACTAAAAGAAATAAAAGCAGTGAACTTAACTATGCTTTTTCTCAAGTGTTACAACACTTGCTTTGGTAACAGTAACATAACGGGTTTCATTAACTGATAATTTCCCAGCTTAAAATTGCATACATTAAAATAGCCTGAGGTCTATGTACTTCATCAACATCCCACCTAGTGTAACATTTAGTATTATAGGAGCATATTTGGCACGGGTCACATTTGTCACACCGGTGTTAGATTGTCTCATTTGTTGAAGTCTTGCGGCCATTTTGAGTACTGAAGATCTGTACGAGTGACAATGATTTAAATACCAGTATTTTACGGCATGAAGGATACCACCTTTGTGCCTTTGGTCAATAATACAGTATGGTCAACAACAATTTGAAGATCAATGTCGCTATATAAGGCTACCAGGATATTTTAGAGTTTAGTTGACCAGAACTTCAACAGTAAGATCAAAATAACATTAAACCAACTTGAATTTATTCTTTTTTTTTTGCCCTTGTCCGGATAAATAACTGGAAAAAGACTAAAGAAACTCATTAAAGACAGAAATTTCTGCAAGATTGAAACAGTCGCTCGACTGTAGCTTTACAACTACTTCAGCATATCCGTACAATGACTTGAATATAGCTGTACAACTACTTCAGGCCAGATGTAGGCCTACAATAACATGTATACTAGTACCTGTAAAGGTATAGCTGTAAAACGACATTATATCAGATGTACAAAACTAATATTTATTTAAACAATGACTCCAGTTCAGCAGTAAAATAACTTAGATAAAGTTTTATAAAGACCTAATGCCACCAGAACAAATAGAATATAAATGCACAACGATATGTGGACCGTTGTACAATTACTCGACATAAGTAGATGTACTAAGACATTAGGCCCGTTGTACAATAACTAAAATATATAAATGTTCAACGACATAAAGCCCGCTGTGAAACATCTGGAATAGAGCTGTACATCGACATAAGGCCCATTGTTCAATATCCTAAATAGAGTTGTACATCAATATCGACATAAGGCCAGCTGTACACTATTTTGAATAGAGCTTTACAACGACATTTGGTCCGTTGTACAATATCTTGAATAGAGATGTACATCGACATTAGGTCCTTTGTACAATATCTTGAATAGAGCTTTACAACGACATTAGGTCCGTTGTACAATATCTTGAATAGAGATGTACATCGACATTAGTTCCGTTATACAATATCTTGAATAGAGATGTACATCGACATTAGGTCCGTTGTACAATATCTTGAATAGAGATGTACATCGACATTAGGCCCGCTGTGCAATATCTTGAAATAGAGCTGTACATCGACATTAGGTCCGTTGTACAATATCTTGTAATAAAGCTGTACAACGACATTAGGCCCGCTGTACAATAACTTGAAATAGAGATGTACATCGACATAAGGCCTGCTGTACCATAACTTGAAAAAAAGCTTTACAACGACATTAGGCCCGCTGTACAAATATCTTGAAATAGAGCTGTACATCGACATTAGGCCCGCTATACAATATCTTGAATAAAGCTGTACATCGACATTAAGCCCGCTGTACAATATCTTGAATAAAGCTGAACAACGACATAAGACCCGCTGTACAATATCTTGAATAAAGCTGTACAACGACATTAGGCCCGCTGTACAATATTTTGAAATAGAGCTGTACATCGACATAAGGTCCGTTGTACAATATCTTGTAATAAAGCTGTACAACGACATTAGGTCCGCTGTACAATAACTTGAATAAAGCTTTACAACGACATTAGGCCCGTTGTACATTTTCTTGAAATAGAGCTGTACATCGACATTTGGCCCGCTGTACAATATCTTGAATAAAGCTGTACAACGACATTAGTCCCGCTGTACAATAACTTGAAATAGAGCTGTACAGCAACATAAGGCCCGCTGTACAATATCTTGAATAAAGCTGTACAACGACATTAGTCCCGCTGTACAATAACTTGAAATAGAGCTGTACATCGACATTTGGCCCGCTGTACAATATCTTGAATAAAGCTGTACAACGACATTAGTCCCGCTGTACAATAACTTGAAATAAAGCTGTACATCGACATAAGGCCTGCTGTACAATATCTTGAATAAAGCTGTACAACGACATTAGGCCCGCTGTACAATATCTTGAATAAAGCTGTACAACGACATTAGGCCCGCTGTACAATAACTTGAAATAGAGCTGTACAACGACATTAGGCCCGCTGTACAATATCTTGAATAAAGCTGTACAACGACATTAGGCCCGCTGTACAATAACTTGAAATAGAGCTGTACATCGACATTAGGCCTGCTGTACCATAACTTGAAAAAAAGCTTTACAACGACATTAGGTCCGTTGTACAATATCTTGAAATAAAGCTGTACATCGACATTAGGCCCGCTGTACAATAACTTGAAACAGAGCTGTACATCGACATAAGGCATGCTGTACAATATCTTGAAATAGAGATGTACATTGACATTAGGCCCGCTGTACAATAACTTGAAAAAGAGCTGTACATCGACATTAGGTCCGTTATACAATATCTTGTAATAAAGCTGTACAACGACATAAGACCTACTGTACAATAACTTGAAAAAAAGCTGTACATTGACATTAGGTCAGTTATACAATATCTTGTAATAAAGCTGTACAACGACATTAGGCCCGCTGTACAATATCTTGTAATAAAGCTGTACATCGACATAAGGCCCGCTGTACAATAACTTGAAATAGAGATGTACATCGACAGTAGGCCCGCTGTACAATAACTTGAAATAGAGCTGTACATCGACATTAGGTCCGTTGTACAATATCTTGTAATAAAGCTGTAGAACGACATTAAGCCCGCTGTACAATAACTTGAAATAGAGCTGTACATCGACATAAGGCCTGCTGTACCATAACTTGAAAAAGAGCTTTACAACGACATAAGGCCCGCTGTACAATATCTTGAAAAGAGCTGTACATCGACATTAGGTCCGTTGTACAATATCTTGTAATAAAGCTGTACAACGACATTAGGCCCGCTATACAATAACTTGAAATTGAGATGTTCATCGACATTAGGCCTGCTGTACCATAACTTGAAAAAGAGCTTTACAAAAACATTAGGCCCGCTGTACAATATCTTGAAATAGAGCTGTACTTCGACATTAGGTCCGCTGTACAATATCTTGAATAAAGCTGTACAACGACATTAGGCCCGCTGTACAATATCTTGAATAAAGCTGTACATCGACATTAGGCCCGCTGTACAATATTTTTAAATAGAGCTGTACATCGACATTAAGCCCGCTGTACAATATCTTGAAATAGAGCTGTACATCGACATTAGGCCCGCTGTACAATATCTTGAAATAGAGCTGTACATCGACATTAGGTCCGCTGTACAATATCTTGAAATAAAGCTGTACATCGACATTAGGCCCGCTGTACAATATCTTTAATAAAGCTGTACAACGACATTAGGCCCGCTGTACAATATCTTGAATAAAGCTGTGCATCGACATTAGGCCCGCTGTACAATATCTTGAAATAGAGCTGTACAACGACATTAGGCCCGCTGTACAATATCTTGAAATAGAGCTGTACATCTACATTAGGCCCGCTGTACAATATCTTGAATAAAGCTGTACATCGACATTAGGCCCGTTGTACAATATCTTGAATAAAGCTGTACATCGACATTAGGCCCGCTGTACAATATCTTGAATAAAGCTGTACATCGACATTAGGTCCGTTGTACAATATCTTATAATAAAGCTGTACAACGACATTAGTCCCGCTGTACAATAACTTCAAATAGAGCTTTACAACGACATTAGGTCCGCTGTACAATATCTTGAATAAAGCTGTACAGCAACATTAGGCCCGCAGTACAATATCTTGAATAAAGCTGTACAGCAACATTAGGCCCGCTGTACAATAACTTGAAATAGAGCTGTACAGCGACATTAGGCCCGCTGTACAATATCTTGAATAAAGCTGTACAGCAACATAAGGCCTGCTATACAATAACTTGAAATATAGCTGTACAGCGACATTAGGCCCGCTATACAATATCTTGAATAAAGATGTACAGCAACATTAGTCCCGCTATACAATAACTTGAAATAGAGCTGTACAGCGACATTAGGCCCGCTCTACAATATCTTGAATAAAGCTGTACAGCAACATTAGGCCCGCTATACAATAACTTGAAATAGAGCTGTACAGCGACATTAGGCCCGCTATACAATATCTTGAATAAAGCTGTACATAGACATTAGGCCCGCTATACAATATCTTGAATAAAGCTGTACAGCAACATTAGGCCCGCTATACAATAACTTGAAATAGAGCTGTACAGCGACATTAGGCCCGCTGTACAATATCTTGAAATAGAGCTGTACAGCAACATTAGGCCCGCTGTACAATATCTTGAATAAAGCTGTACAGCAACATTAGGCCCGCTGTACAATAACTTGAAATAGAGCTGTACAGCGACATTAGGCCCGCTGTACAATATCTTGAATAAAGCTGTACAGCAACATTAGGCCCGCTATACAAAAACTTGAAATAGAGCTGTACAGCGACATTAGGCCCGCTGTACAATATCTTGAAATAGAGCTGTACAGCGACATTAGGCCCGCTGTACAATATCTTGAAATAGAGCTTTACAGCGACATTAGGCCCGCTGTACAATATCTTGAATAAAGCTGTACAGCAACATTAGGCCCGCTGTACAATATCTTGAAATAGAGCTGTACAGCAACATTAGGCCCGCTATACAATATCTTGAATAAAGCTGTACAGCAACATTAGGCCAGCTATACAATAACTTGAAATAGAGCTGTACATCGACATTAGGCCCGCTGTACAATATCTTGAAATAAAGCTGTACAGCAACATTAGGCCCGCTATACAATATCTTGAATAAAGATGTACAGCAACATTAGGCCCGCTATACAATAACTTGAAATAGAGCTGTACAGCGACATTAGGCCCGCTGTACAATATCTTGAAATAGAGCTGTACAGCAACATTAGGCCCGCTGTACAATATCTTGAATAAAGCTGTACATCTACATTAGGCCCGCTGTACAATAACTTGAAATAGAGCTGTACAGCGACATTAGGCCCGCTGTACAATATCTTGAATAAAGCTGTACAGCAACATTAGACCCGCTATATAAAAACTTGAAATAGAGCTGTACAGCGACATTAGGCCCGCTATACAATAACTTGAAATAGAGCTGTACAGCGACATTAGGCCCGCTATACAATAACTTGAAATAGAGCTGTACCAGATATACAATAACTTAAATGTAGCTGTACTGAGACTTTAGAACTTGAATATAACGTAACATTTCAAAGATTTGTGGAAATCTTAAACATAATTTAACTTTAATGCAATCATAACTAGATTTTGAAGAAGCAAATATTTTTTGTATGACGCAAATATCAACTCAACAATTTAATATATCTACTACTAAGTTATTTTATTATGAAGGATCAACAATGCATTATAATATCTTTCCAGAACCTGTATCAGTGAATCCATTTATCTTATTTATGGGAGAGTAATCTCATGTTATAAAGTTTTCCCTTCGCGAACTTAACGTGTATGTATGTATATTCTTATTTTAGGTGGATTTTTTTATTTCCAAAATCATATAGCTGTGGATTCACAAGAAAGATGTCAGCTGGATTGAAATATTAAATTATCGTGTACACGTGTGTCAACTACGGAGCCCCTAAGGTGACATTTTCCACACTTTTTCCCCCGGAACTTAATTCGTTTTTAGAAATAATAATTTGTAATTACAAAATAATAATTCGTTTTTACGAAATATTAATTCGTAATTACGGAATATTAATTCGTTTTTACGAAATATTAATTCGTTTTTACGAAATATTTCGTAATTACGAATTAATATTTCGTAATTACGAATTAATATTTCGTTAAAACGAATTAAATGCCGGGTAAAGATTGCTGAAAATGTCACCTTAGGGGCTCCGTTGTCAACGGACATGCTGTTCACTAGTTGTTTAATATTAATAATAACACACTGACTGTTCTAAACTGACCATTATGTCGATTAAAGAACAGAAATGTACAAAATATATCATTTACAGTTTTAAGAAAACTATTTTACAATTATGTACGTTAATTTGACTTGAATCATTCTACACATATGGAGAGAATATATCCATTAAAATATTCTGATTTTTAATGGTGGATATTTGTTATGTTATGCTAATGGTGATTGTTTAAATGCAAGAAACTCCGTTCCACACGTCAACTGTAGATATAAAATAATTAAAAATCATAGAAAATCTGTAATCGTTTATATGAAACATATCAATTCCCGTACAAACTGATTTTATGATTTTTATAAAAACATTTGATCAAACATTAAAGCTCAATCATATATTAATTTTGTGATTTCAGATTTTATGACACCCCTGCCACTTATAAATACAACAATCGTATTACTCATCATTGAATAACAACAATATAAACTCTGAAACATCGATATAAATTATGCATATATCTGCTGGATAATGTAATACTGCAGAAAACTTTTGTGTAAAACAAGAATAATAATTCAATTAGTTATGTCCATAGTTTTATCCTCATTGAACATTGTACTTGAATGATGTGTTTATAAGCTAACTATATATAACGGTTAGTGTCAAATAACTAGAAATATATTCAGTCATATACACCTACAAATTTACTGACCATATTGTACAATGGACAACAAAACTAAAATTGGAAGGTACATTAAATGACGCTTTAGGTTTGATATAGCTGCAACAAGCAGACATTTAATAAATTATGCTGCATATACCTGTCAAATTGTCTGTCAAAGATGACTACCGTTCAGGTAGGCATACAACCTCAGTTACCAAGGCAATGGTTTGTTTCATACCATCTGAGTGTAAATGAACACATTAAAAGAAAACATAAAATACTGTGATAGTCTTGTTATTTCTACCTTGTTTACAGGGGATGAAACTTTGGTACATATGTTTGATCCTCAAAGAATGGTCCAATAAAACGTTTTGAAAATAAAAGAAAAAAATCAGAATCATTGTATACATGGACCACCTGTTAAAATCTAAGAGGTTAAATTTTTCGTTGAAAAGTTACAGTGTTCCAGGACTTGGCCCGTTTTACGGCTTAAACGTAACAATATTTTGGCGTAGCAAATACTTGTCAGAGTTATTTGCAGCGCCTTAACAGTTACGGAGCCCAGTAAATAAGATTCATGTTTTGGATACAAGTGCATGGTGGGGTAGAATTTCCCGATATTAAAGATAATTTTATACAATACCTTATTAGTGCGAAGTAATTAAATGACATTCTGAAAATAATTGTCAAATCAAAGTAACTTAAAATCGAACAAAGCAAATTATCGTAGGCGAGCAAATATTCTTGTACTAATAAAGGGAAATTTTTTTTCTTTTTCAACCTTTTCATCCTTAAACAGTTCTACATAAATCTTAATTGAAAAAAGACGTTTTACAATAAAAAGCGCCCAAACAAGGGATGGTCAGAAGTCCATCGCATACATGACAATGCCTCTGCTCTAAAAACAAGAGTGTTAAGTCTTTCTTGTCGTCTGAAAATGTTAAAGTTTAAACCATCCGCCTTATTCTTGCGACTTCTTTCGGTTTCCCAGGCTTAATAAAATACTTTCTGGTGCAAGATATTTGTCCAGGAATTCTCTTGGCAGCGCAATTAATCAGTGCCTGCGACAGATTCCAAAAGAAGATTATCATTAAGTTTTTCGAATTACAAAAGTACATTGCAGTAGAGGGTAGAATTCCTTGAAGGTTTGAAAAAGAAAACATTTTAGCGGTTACAATATTTTATTCCAGTGACAGAACGTATTAAATGACCCTCGTATAAAAATAACCGTGTCAAAGTCAAAGTAAACTTAAAATCAACAAACTGCGAGGTGGACGGTACGTTATCGTAGGAAAACAGAAGGCAGAACTCACTTCCTTCGAAATAGATCACAGGACATTTCATTGTTTCTTTATTTCAACCAATTTCAAATCATTCCTATATAAAATTATGTTCAAGACGACTTTCCTTAAAATAATAATTCTCATCATTGGTAATAAATCCAAAATACAAAATACAACCGGAACAATTTACATATACTACAACAGCATGTACATTATACAGTATGTATGCTCGATGACTTCATTCCATTTTGTCGGAATGACTGTAATTGTGTTATCTTTAAAATATCCATGGTAGTGAGCATGAACAACAAAGTTAACATTTGTATTGTTCTAAATTTACCAATTATCTACAGACTGAAGATTGGTAAACATCGGGACTAATTACCTTGTATATTTCGACTTTACATAGAACAAGAAAGATCTTACATCTTGACCTATTTCTTTAAAAAAAGGGGAAAACACGAGGAAATGTAACGTTGTTCACTTCACTTTATGATTCGTTTATCTCTAAACTAAGTATTATATCATCTATTTAAATGTAAACACACATACAAACATGTCTATGAAAATGTAAATTAAAATACATATAACCTATTAATATATATTTAAATACAGATATACATAGAAAGATAAAATCCATTTATTAAATGTAAAATAAAGTGAGGCGGAGTTTGAGTTACACTCATCCAGTAAGGGAGTTATATTTTCCCAGAATGCCGCACGCGAGGCAATGATGTGATGGTTTACCGACAATGACGTCATATTTGGATTAAGAGTTAAATATAGCTGTGTGTCCAATGTATACGGAGGCCACTCTATAAGGTCTGCTCCTTGGATTGAAGTCTCTGTTCCATCCATATTTGGGTTCCTTAAAGAAAATAGAAAAATATAAAACTGAATAGATCTAAATGTTTCCAGAAATCATGTCATAAAATAGAGAAAAACAGAATCCCTAAAGAACGCCCAAAACGACAAAATGGAAAATGTTGCAGGCTCGGTTTGATTGAGCCTGTTCATGGACGGTACTGTAATATGCAAATTAACGTTTATGCTCCCTAGCACCGACTTTAGCAGGATTCAACATTGAAACATAAATATGGTGAAATTTTGAATTTAGAACAGCCGTAGAAGTGTTCATACGGCTATATAAACACCTCACGGGAGTAAGAAGTGTGATACTATTTTACATGTCTTATCTATTTTAATGAAGACGAAATCTGTTATTTACCGTATATGATTAAAAATGCTAGTCATAGTTCGCCATAGCTTTTGGTCTTTTGGCCTTTACTAGTATTCTTATTTATTATATTTTATTACAATACAAATGAATTTGTAGTTAATTATTTCGTAGTTAAAAACATACATGATTGTCACTTACCCTGACTTTACAAAGTTAGTCCAATATGTCATGAGCTGATATGAAAACTGAATGTCTTGTTGTGAAGTAACAAAAGGATCAACAGCTTCATAATCCATCGTCATCTTTATCTCCAGAGCTTTTGTGAAACCAAATATAAAAGGTAATTCCATGGCATGTGTAGCCCCGGTCAACCAGTCTGGAATAGGGGCGAAGTCTGGTTTATGATCAAATAGATAGAAGTACGTATTATTTCTACTATCATCATGATTAGGTACTACACGAGCGTGTGTTTTTGCAGCATGTATTGCAGGAATGAAAAACGTAACATCTGATTCCAGGTCAATAACGTTTTCTCTATTCAGTAGAGTATTGTTTGGGGCTGTCCAGTTCGTGTACTGGTGGATAACAAACGATGTTACAAGCGTTGATTGAAATTTGTGGTAAACTTCATGTAACATCCGGGGAACAAACTTTTCTGTGAAATATGACCTTGACACTCCGTTTATATTTTCTTCAGCATTAATCCAGCTACCTTTCGCGTATGCTCCATCTTGACTAAGAACACCAATTAAAAGATCTAAATCCGAATAAAAGTCCATAGCTTTTTTACCAGCATCAGTTTGAGCTTTTGATAGAGTTAATGGGTCTTCTAATAAAAAGTCATTATCAACGACAGGTACAAATAAAGTGTTTGAAACAAATAATTTATCTGTTGGCAATTTACGTAGACATGCTAACTGATCTGAATAACTGCCGAGATTACACCCTGTCTTATTTAGATACGTATAAAAGTTATGAACTGGATTATGTTGCAACGCCCAGAATGCAAAACATGTTCCACTTTGTGATATTACTCTATGAAATAAACCTCGGTTATCAGGATTGATCGCTTGATAGAGTACAGCGCCCCCACCAGCCGAATTACCAAACAACGTCACTCTGGAGGGATCGCCTCCATAATCCGCGATATTGTCATGCACCCACTCGATAGCCATCTTCATATCCCAAAGCCCAAAATTTCCAGAGGATTTATCGCCATTGCTGAGAAAACCGAAGACATTTAGTCGATAATTAATCGTCACAACAATGACGTCATTAAACGCACTAAGAATGTCACCAGCATATACATCAGCCCCACCGGCGGCAAAACTTCCGCCATGAATATAAATCATTACAGCATATTTGTGAGAATTGATCAGTGGTTCTGGAACCTCAGGAACAAATATATTAAGATACAAGCAATCCTCGTTCTGACTAAAATGTTTCATATAAAGATAAGTTGCCAACTGAATACAACTTGATCGATAATATAAAGCATTGTATATCCCAAAACTTTTCAAACTACCATAACGTTCTGGTCTCGCAAATCGTCTTTCACAAATAGGGGGTTTAGCATATGGAATTCCAAGAAAACTGGTGACACTTTTAAACTTCCCTCCGAAACTCACACTTTGTGTTTTCCCTTTTAACGTTCCAAGATCCGTTATATGATATATTTCGTTTGCATCAACTTTTTGTAAAGCTCCAGCGGCCAGTATCAATAACAACATAAATGAGTCATATCGTAAAATAAAATAATAATCCATTAAAAATTGTTGTCATAGAAACATAAGAACGCGGAATGTATGTAATATGTTTGTGGAACAATAACAATGTATCTTGTTTCTAGTCCAGACAAATATTGCTGCATCAAAGATAAAATTGTGACAGATTTTATTTTCAAATGTTCTTGAAGCAGAGTAAATTTCTACAGCAGAGATTGATGGGATAGACTGGTGTGTTTACTCTTCAGGAGCTGCGTAAAACTCACATTTAATCTAAGAAATGTAAACGATACGAGGAAATGTATCATCTAATCAACACTATCTGATATATGAAAGTTTCACCAGGAACCTGGCACAGTTCTCATTGATCTCTATATGTATCATTACTAGATAAAAAAAATAAACTAGGCACGTGCGCGATCTCTTCAATGTATAGACGTTTATTATAGGTCATATGAACAGTGATAAAATGTGATATGATCGTAGCAGACGACTTCCGTTTTACTTGTAAAAGAAGACCCCTGGTTCCCATTTGTGGGAGCCGCGACATATAAAATAATGCTAAGTCAGTAGTGGAAATCCACAGCCGTGAGGAGAAATATTTTTCTATGTCAGTTACCAAACCACAATGCCATGCCATTGCTACCTCCCCGTACATACAAACATACGCATTTAACTCCCTTGTTAGTGTGCGTTAACTAAATCACCGGAATACAACCGTTATTTTCATAATTATTATTTGTGTTTATGTAAACCGCCACTGTATACGAACAAAAAGTTACAAATCAAACTCCATAAATAATGATAATACCATGATGATGATGATGATGGTGATGATGATGGTGATGATGATGATGATTGGTTCAAATTATATAAGTAAATGGTAGTCATTTAATGAATGCTTGTATATATAATAAATATATGTATATTATATATTGTATTAGGTAGGTCACTCACATTGAAAGATACTAAATCTGGTGAATTATTTGATTTTGTTTACATTATAAATTCTTTTCTGCCCCGTTTAGATGATCAAGATAGATCAACAATTTTCTGTTCTGTTCAAATCAGTAATTAAATTACACGAATTTATATATTTATAGATACTGACGCACTGAAAAAATAATTATCAGCTCTTTTAGTTTAATTGATAAAAACTTGCGCGTTCTCCTCATAAGAGTATATGAAAATAGAATGTCTACCTCACTGTTTTATCTTCAAATACAAAGAGATAACGAGAGTAAAAATAAATGAACCAGAATAAAATCTTCACATGCATTGAAATGAGAGAAATATAAATGCATAGGAAAATAGTTGTTTATCAACAGTAGCGGTTGTTAATGTAATGTTGATATAAGTCGTTACGCCTACAGAAATTTGTTTGCTGATACCTGCGATAATTTATATGATAAAAACTACATTAATAGACTCATATAAACATATATAACTCAGTGTAGGTATTCTATTTTAACTGACTTTACAGTCACACGCAGAGTAAATCATATACGGCCAAATTTCAACGTAGATCAAATAATGTCGCCTCAGACAAACGCATTAAGCACACATTTCAAACGACCACATTCATCGTATTTCTAATTCGACCACATACAGCGTACATATTATATGGCCACATAAGTGTACATCACATAAGCTCACATACAGTGTACATCACATAAACGGCTACATGCAGTGTACATCACATAAGGTCAAATACAGTGTATATCACATAAGGTCACATACAGCGTACATAACGAATGGCCACATACAGCGTACATCAAATACAGCGTACATCACATACGACCACATACAGAGTTCACCACATACAGCGTACAACTCATACAGCGTATATCACATACGACCACATACAGTGATAACACATACAGCGTACAACTCATACAGCGTATATCACATACGACCACATACAGTGATAACACATACAGCGTACAACTCATACAGCGTACATCACATACGACCACATACAGAGTTCACCACATACAGCGTACAACTCATACAGCGTATATCACATACGGCCACATACAGCGTATAACACATACAGCGTACATCACATACGACTCTATACAGAGTAGAACATCTACAGCGTACATCACATACGACAACATACAGCGTATAACACATACAGCGTACATCACATACGACCACATATAGAGTAGAACACCTACAGCGTACAACACATAAAGCGTAAATCACATACGACCACATACAGCGTATAACACATACAGCGTACATCACATACGACCACATACTCGTACAGATCAGAACACTTACAGCGTACAACACCTACAGAAAATAATAGCATCGGGAGTAGACAATCATTATAACAAAACGTTGTCTTTGGTGTTGATAGACTTAACCAATAATTTCCAGGTAATTCAAACTCTGACAAAACTTTATCCAGCATTATTAAGAAACGTTTGGTAACTTTGCATATATCTATTTTCTTCCATTGAGTATTATTCAAGAATTTAGGACATAGATATCCACTGCCTTGACTGTAACTCTGTTGCGAATCTGTTTAAAACTTAATGGTTTTAAATAGCCTTGGGTGTACGAAATTCACGAAGAATTAAAATTAATGAGTTTAAAAATATCTAAAATACAATGAAATAAAAGAATGCCTTTTCATGCATTCGAACCAGGATCTCTACACCTGCGAAGCGAACACAATCTCTCAGGAAACCTGAATGGGTATGAATGAGTAATGGTTCAGGATGTAAAGTTTAGGCGCGATAAATAATTTGCCTTATATAATAATTATCAACACCACTATATATCAAAATTGATGAACGAGCTATACATATTACCGGGGAAAAACATGCATTAACGGATAGATTCTCTCATGTTTATTAATTGCGTGACTCAGGGCGCCATGTAATAACAGCTTACCAGTCAATAAGCAATGAATTCTTTATATGATATACAGATATTATACGATTTAGACGTATACGTTTATGCAAGAATAGTGCTTATGCAGAGTTTTTTTCGTGCATTAACATTTTCAGAAGCTCATGGACACATTTAAAAGCTCGAGTCCACAAGAAATAAATGTGAATTAGCTGTTTTATCTAGCACAGCGTTCACTAGCGTCCGTCAGAGAATATAAACTATTAGAAGCTGAACTGGATGCTAGTCGGTCTGAACCTACCCTTACATTAACAATAAAAGTTATCTTTAACAAAAAAGCTGTGGGCAAAACTTCTTAATCCGTTAAAAAAAGTCTGAAAAATGGTAAATCCCTTGAGAACAACGGAAAGTATTTGTTTACACGATTTGATTAAATGTACATGTAAACATAATAAATAATAAAATGTGCAACACCTCTCATCTCTCTAATACCCTCTTATTGTGTCCTTTATTATAAACATTAAATCATTGATCTGTAAAGACCAGAGAAATATAGCAACACTTAAAATCACGCCACCTGGATTATTCTTTGTTTTGTCTTCCATGTCAAATAAATTAAATATTATCGTAACCAGAATTTGCTAAATTTTCAATAAAAGCCCAGTATCAGTAGTTATAGTATTTCTTATCTTAGGAATATATACGATATTAAAAAGAAGCAGTTATTAACAACGAATAAGTTACACTTTCGTACAAAGTATATTTCAGAATTATTTGTTTAACAGAAATAATTCAAGTCTAGACATTAGACACACAGCTCGACATGTATTGGTCTGTAACAGAAAAACATAATCTTATATCAAATATCAAAATAAATCATATCTAATATATATTATACAACGTCGATAATACATGCAAATATTTGTTTAAAGAACCTACTTGCTTCTACAGAGTTTTAATATTCGATTTGTTTCTAATGTAGTTGAAAGAAACGTACAAGTTTTATCTATCTGTTTAACAACGTACGAACAAGTACAATATTTCAGTTCAATGGTATAAAAGATTTGCTTCAACAGCGATTGTGATGGTGTTGGTACCCTCCAGATCACGGCAATAAGTCAAAATGACAATTTCCAGAGCAATGTTCCTGGGCAGGCTGTCTAGCAGTTAACCAATACTAGTTGCCTCCACTTTCGCAAGAACTAATAACTGTTGTAACGCTGCCAGGGCAGAGGTACGATGTGAATGACCTACCCCATCCGGGAGTGTATGCACAGAAAAATGGATATAATAGTCGACATAACAACAATAATTGCACAAAATGTTAACTTACTCATAAGAGATTTTCCTCCACAATAAAGTCAGCCTTTAGTTTTTAAAAAACTTACATTAAGAACGTATGCACGAGCAAGGCAGTTTTCACTCATACTCTATATATACTTTTCTAAACAACTATTGCGCAACGTATGTTTTTTTTCAATCCCCAGTCCGTAAAGTTTTCCTTCACAATGGCAGCACTAACTTATAGTGTTTTTTTTTAATCCCAAGTCTGTATTGACTAACCTTCAAACGATAGCAAGAGTATAAAATCTTTAAATCCTTAGTTTATATACGACTGCATGGATGTATACAATTATTGTATAGACTTACCTTAACGACGATTACACTAACGTATACAATTTTAAAATCCAATGTTTACATAGATGCATAAAAGTATACAATTAACAATCCCTTATTTGTATTTATCTAGCTTAACAACGATTGCGTGAACGTAAACACGTTTGCAGTCCCCTGTTTGTATTGAACTACCTTAACAACGATTACATAAACGTATACAAGTTTGCAGTCCCCTGCTTGTATTGACCTACCTTAAAAACGATAACATGAACGTAAACAATTTTGCAGTCCCCTGTTTGTATAGACCTACCTTAACAACAATTACATCAACGTATACAATTTTGAAATCCCGTGTTTGTATTGACCTACCTTAACAACTTTTACAGGAACGCATACAATTTTGAAATCCCGTGTTTGTATTGACCTACCTTAACAAAGATTACACGAACGTATACAATTTTGCAATCCCCTGTTTGTATTGACCTACCTTAACAAAGATTACATGAACGTATACAATTTTGCAATCCCCTGTTTGTATTGACCTACCTTAACAAAGATTACATGAACGTATACAATTTTGAAATCCCCTGTTTGTATTGACCTACCTTGTTTATATAGACCTACCTTAACAATGATTACACGAACGTATACAATTTTGAAATCCCCTGTTTGTATTGACCTACCTTAACAATGATTACACGAACGTATACAATTTTGAAATCCCGTGTTTGTATTCACCTACCTTGATAACTTTTACAGGAACGTTTACAATTTTGAAATCCCCTGTTTGTATTGACCTACCTTAACAACGATTACACGAACGTTTACAATTTTGAAATCCCCTGTTTGTATTGACCTACCTTGTTTGTATAGACCTACCTTAACAACGATTGCACGAGCGTATACAATTTTGAAATCCCCTGTTTGTATTGACCTACCTTAACAACGATTACACGAACGTTTACAATTTTGAAATCCCCTGTTTGTATTGACCTACCTTGTTTATATAGACCTACCTTAACAAAGATTACATGAACGTATACAATTTTGAAATCCCCTGTTTGTATTGACCTACCTTGTTTATATAGACCTACCTTAACAACGATTACACGAGCGTATACAATTTGACAGTCCCCAGTCTGTATGGCATGACCTTAATGCTTCATGGTTACATGTCGTCTGGTCGATACAATGAGTGTTCAAATCAACTACAAATACAATGTATTTACTATATCTTTTTGTGAATTGTCTATTCCTTTTGTGTTTTTGTTGTTGGTGTTGTTGTTGAATTAATTATTAACTTACCACGGACATGAAAGAGATAGCCACAGTCTAAACAAGCACGTGTAAGAAGCATTATAATATCTGACACAGTCTATCTCTTATGTTTTGTTTGACATAATTTGGTTTCATTGTACATGATGTCATTCTCGTACATGATGTCATTCTTGTATATACATTAAAATCCTGTATGTTGTAACGATGGTTGTAACAAGACTTAAGTGAAATTTTATATAATTATGCTTCTAAAACTATTTTCAAACATCGAAGAATATGTAAAATAAGTATGTACTGCAAATATTTGTCCACATTATATGTAATCATTAGAATATATGCATTCATTTCTTGTTGAAAAAATCGTCTTAGACTTTATAGAAAATGAATTTCTAAATACCTCCCTTTATTGACATGAAATGCAAATTCGGTATTATCTTTTTGGAACTTACAATATTGATAAATCTTCATTTGAGCATTATATTTATGTAATAAAACCATGAAATAAATAGACAGGATCTTTAACAATAAGATTATAATATAAAATATTTTATAGACGTTATTTGATAGGTACCATCACATAGATTACAAGATTTCCGACAGTGTTGTAAACCCCAGAGACTGTTACAATATGTTGCTGTGTACAAGTAACAATAAGTTTGTACGTCAACACAGGGTGTAGTTCTTGCTGTTGTTGTTGTTGCTGTTGTTGTTGCTTTTGCTGTTGCTGTTGTTGTTGCTGTTGTTGTTGTCGGTGTAGTTGTCGGTGTTGTTGTTGCTGTTGTTGTTGCCGGTGTTGTTGTAGTGGTAGTGGTAGTGGTGGTCGTAGTGGGCGTGGTCGTGGTGGGCGTCGTTTTCTTTGTTGATAAAACTGTTAAGATCATTAACAAAAAACCTGAACTGTCAAGTTTGATTAATACATGTTGGTCATGTATTAATCTAATTAATCTCCAAAATGAAAGCATGCAATATTTAACAGCATGTCCCTTTTTTAATATACGTGACTAAGGGCGCCGTGTAACAATTTGGCATGACTACAATTGAGGCTCCGATAGTTTCCCGAAGTATCACGTGATAAGGATGAAAAACCCGATTTCTTTATACGGAATAGAAATATCGAAACGCGATATTAGCGAATCTGACTTATAATATATTTACGCATGAACAGCACTTTTGTTGATATTTTACTGAATGCCCAAAATCTAAGAACATGCTCATGTAAACGGTATGTTAATCCATTTTAAACTTATTTCATTTCTAAGAAAACTCAATGGCCTGAATATTTGACTTTTTATCTAGATACACACATTAAAGCTAAATGTATACCGGTTTATTAAAGTTTATCGGTTAGAAGAGCTATAACTACCTGGTGTTGTTTTAATTGTTGTTGACGAGGGTTTGTGAGAAGCGCTGGTAAATGAAACCACACCACTTCCTAAACAGTCAGAATTACACAAGTCATCGCTACAACACTTCATGTCACATTTAGTCGTATCTGTAATATAACATATAATGTCACATTTAGTCGTATATAATATTTAATGTCACATTTAGTCGTATCTATAATATAACATTTAAAGTCACATTTAGTCGTATCTATAATAAAACATTTAATGTAACAATAAGTTGATCTATGATATAACATTTAACGTCACATCTAGTCGTATCTATAATATATTATTTAATGTCACAATTAGTCGTATCTACAATAAAACATTTAATGTCACATTAAGTCGAATCTATAATATAACATTTAATGTCACAATTAGTCGTATCTATGATATAACATTTAATGTCACATCTAGTCGTATCTATAATATAACATTTAATGTCACATCTAGTCGTATCTATAATATATCATTTAATGCCACATCTAGTCGTATCTATAATATAACATTTAATGTCACATCTAGTCGTATGAATAATATAACATTTAATGTCACATCAAGTTATAGCAATTATTTAACATTTAATGTGCACATCTAGTCGTTATCTATAATTTAACATTTAATGTCACATCTAGTCGTATCTAAAATAAAACATCAATGTCACATCTATTCGTATCTAAAAACAATGAATGTCACATTTAGTCGTATCTATAATGTAACATTTAATGTCACATCTAGTCGTAGCTATAATATAACATTTAATGTCACATCTAGTCGTATCTATAATATAACATTTAATGTCACATCTAGTCGTATCTATAATATAACATTCAATGTCACATCTAGTCGTGTCTATAATATAACATTCAATGTCACATTTAGTCGTATCTATAATATAACATTTAATGTCACAATTAGTCGTATCTATGATATAACATTTAATGTCACATCTAGTCGTATCTATAATATAACATTTAATGTCACATCTAGTCGTATCTATAATATATCATTTAATGCCACATCTAGTCGTATCTATAATATAACATTTAATGTCACATCTAGTCGTATGAATAATATAACATTTAATGTCACATCAAGTTATAGCAATTATTTAACATTTAATGTCACATCTAGTCGTATCTATAATTTAACATTTAATGTCACATCTAGTCGTATCTAAAATAAAACATCAAATGTCACATCTATTCGTATCTAAAAACAATGAATGTCACATTTAGTCGTATCTATAATATAACATTTAATGTCACATCTAGTCGTAGCTATAATATAACATTTAATGTCACATCTAGTCGTATCTATAATATAACATTTAAAGTCACATCTAGTCGTATCTATAATATAACATTCAATGTCACATCTAGTCGTGTCTATAATATAACATTCAATGTCACATCTAGTCGTATCTAGAATAAAACATTAAATGTCACGACTAGTCGTATATATAATATATCATTTAATGTCACATCTAGTCGTAAGAAAAATATAACATTTAATGTAACATCAAGTCGTATCTATTATTTAACATTTAATGCCACATCTGATCGTATCTATAAAATAACATTTAATGTCACATCTAATCTAGTCGTACCTAAAATAAAACATCAAATGTCACATCTAGTCGTATCTAAAAACAATGAATGTCACATTTAGTCGTATCTATAATATAACATTTAATGTCACATCTAGTCGTATCTGAAATAAAACATTAAATGTCACGACTAGTAGTATCTATAATATAACAATAAATGTCACATCTAGTCGTATCTGAAATAAAACATTAAATGTCACGACTAGTAGTATCTATAATATAACATTTAAAGTCACATCTAGTCGTATGAACAATATAACATTTAATGTCACATCAAGTCGTATCTATTATTTAACATTTAATGTCACATCTTGTCGTGTCTATAATATAACATTCAATGTCACATCTTGTCGTATCTATAATAAAGCAATTAATGTCACATCTAGTCTTGTCTATAATATAACATTCAATGTCACATCTAGTCGTGTCTATAATATAACATTTAATGTCACATCTAGTCGTGTCTATAATATAACATTTAATGTCACATCTAGTCGTGTCTATAATATAACATTTAATGTCACATCTAGTCGTATCTATAATATAACATTTAATGTCACATCTAGTCGTAGCTATAATATAACATTTCATGTCACATCTAGTCGTGTCTATAATATAACATTCAATATCACATTTAGTCGTGTCTATAATATAACGATTAATGTCATAATTAGTCGTATCTATGATATAACATTTAATGTCACATCTAATCGTATGTATAATATAACATTTAATGTCACATTTAATCTAGTCGTATCTATAATATAACATTTCATGTCACATCTAGTCGTGTCTATAATATAACATTCCATGTCACATCTAGTCGTATCTATAATAAAACATTTAATGTCACATTTACTCGTATCTATAATATTACATTTAATGTCACATCTAGTTGTATCTAAAATAAAACATTTAATGTCACATCTAGTCGAATGAATAATATAACATTTAATGTCACATCAAGTCGTATCTATTATTTAACATTTAATGTCACATCTAATCGTATGTATAATATAACATTTAATGTCACATCTAATCTAGTCGTATTTAAAATAAAACATCAAATGTCACATCTAGTCGTATCTAAAAACAATAAATGTCACATTTAGTCGTATCTATAATGTAACATTTATTGTCACATTTAGTCGTATCTATAATATAACACTTCATGTCACATCTAGTCGTATCTATAATATAACATTTCATGTCACATCTAATCTAGTCGTATCTAAAATAAAACATCAAATGTCACATCTAGTCGTATCTAAAAACAATAAATGTCACATTTAGTCGTATCTATAATGTAACATTTAATGTCACATTTAGTCGTATCTATAATATAACACTTCATGTCACATCTAGTCGTATCTATAAAATAACGTTCATGTCACATCTAATCGTATCTATTATATAACATTTCATGTCACATTTAGTCGTATCTATAATATAACATTTGATGTCATATCTAGTCGTAGCTATAATATAACATTTCATGTAACATCTAGTCGTATCTATAATATAACATTCAATGTCACATCTAGTCGTATCTATCAGATTACATTCAATGTTACATCTAGTCGTATCTATAATATAACATTCAATGTCACATCTAGTCGTATCTATAATATAACATTTAATGTCACATCTTGTCGTATCTATAATATAACATTTAATATCACATGTAGTCGTATCTATAATATAACATTTAATGTCACATTTAGTCGTATCTTTAATATTACATTTTATGTCACAGTTATGTAACAGTTAATTTCGATAATCATTAAGCGTTGAGTGCATCAAAATTAATCCAAGTTTTAAAGTTTTAGAAAGCCACTAACTATATCTCTTAAATATACACATATATATACCCCAATAAAAGATTATTATGTTGATCTTTGTAATATCAAAAATACTTTTCCAAGGCAATACAGGACGACATTTAAAGATTTAACAAAAATGTCTTACATAAATAAGCATTAAAGACTTTACTGATTGTATTTCTGAATATTTTCTTGACAACACTTATTTGTAAATCTTGCATACTAGTATCAATCAGACAGTTGTAGTGTACGAATTTAAACTGTGATCTAAAAACCGGATTCAAATATTAACAGTACGTATTTCTTTTCTGTTTAATTAATTTTTACCCATTACTGATTTTTTTTTTCATTTACTTTTCCCAGTTACGAATACCTGAAGAATTAATCGTGTCCCGTTGATTAAGAGAGTTAAATATATATAATAATGGAACACAGAACAAACTATTTTCTGAATCTGTGACCACTGAATATGCAGGTAAAATCTAAGTCATACATAAATGAAACGGAATTGTTATAACACCTTGATATACATACGTAATAATTAAAATTACTTAAGATAAAAGATTCCCTTTTTTTTACAAAGAAATCAATAGTAAGATATTTATAACCTGATGAGTAATGGAAACGCCTTCTACCAAACAATGCTTGGGCTCTGATATTGTTGACTTTTTTCAGCACATTCCTTAAATAAAAGAGATCTATAATTCATTGATTCCAGACAAAAAACTGATTTCTTAAATGTTGTCTGTCAGATAATGTATCGAATGGCGAGCAAAATTAAATTAAATTTCTAACCTAAATTTGAAGAAGAGGAGACTAGCAAATTGCATAGCAATTATTTTAGCATTCTATTTGAGTGAACTCTAAAATATCATTTCGCTTTTAAGGCAAACATAAATAGCTGGTCAGACACATTTAAA